CTGGTGTTTTGATTTTTTCTAGGGAATAGCTGCTGGAAACTGTATACATAAGTGGAAATAAGATTTTGTGTTGTACCTGGGGGTCTATGGAAAGCTTCTTAATTCTATCACTATTTTATAAATATGTGTTATTTTACCAGTCACCATACATACATCGCATGTTTGGCCTAATTCTCTAATGTTACAATATCCAACTCTTTGTCCCCTCATGTTTATGAAGGGTACAGGAAAAAGGTACATTATTGCCTTGGCTTATGTTTCCTTACAGTTCCCTCAGTGTTCAGACGGCACTGCCATGCTGCTGTATGTATGCTAGGAAAATAGTTCTCATGACATTAGAATTCTCCTGTAAACCATTTAAGAATGCCTTCAAGGATACAGGATAGGCAAAAACAGATGCCAGGGAACGATGCTAAAAGAACACTATGTAACATAGTAATTAATTCTTTATGATAATAGTGGTTATACAAAACTATTTATATAAAGAGGTGGCAGGTTGCCAGAGATGCGGGAACAAAAAGATGAAGGGTTACAAAGACCTCAAATTACATCATACAATTTCTGGTTAGAAGAATTGTATTGCCCCTTCATGGAAATGGACTTCTGTAGTCTGGCTTTCTTTTTTAATGGCCAGTACCATTTTCCTCTTGTTGCTCAGATTCTACAAAAATTGGTACTTCACTGTTTAGTATAATTATTAACATAGCTATTATTACAGAATCACAGAATTTCTAGGTTGGAAGAGACCTCAAGATCATCGAGTCCAACCTCTGACCTAACACTAACAGTCCCCACTAAACCATATCCCTAAGCTCTACATCTAAACGTCTTTTAAAGACCTCCAGGGATGGTGACTGTACCACTTCCCTGGGCAGCCTGTTCCAATGTCTAACAACCCTTTTGGTAAAGAAGGTCTTCCTAAGATCCAACCTAAAACTCCCCTGGCGCAACTTAAGCCCATTCCCCCTCGTCCTGTCACCAGGCACGTGGGAGAACAGACCAACCCCCACCTCGCTACAGCCTCCTTAAAGCGATAAGGTTGCCCCTGAGCCTCCTGTAACGCAGTGTTTCCTAGAGATCCAAAATCATGGTCATTCTGGTTCAACGGTAGTCATCTTTATGTCCTAGCATGCAGTAAAAAATATGAAAGATACTCCTGTGAAAGTCTGGGGGGGCTCCATTTCATTGAGAGCACCACCTTTAGATGAAGAATTACATCACAGTTGTTGCTGATAATGAAGAGTTCCCTGATATGCAAATTATTGCATTTCTACAATGTCCACTGTGTGTGGATGGCAGTTCAGAGCACTGTGGTGCATTTGGGAAGTGACAAAATGTACTAGGACTTCTGATCTTAGCAAGTCATCCAGATAGAACAAACCATAGTAGATACGCATAATATGTAGACATCTAATGAAATTACACTGGCGTCTTGAATGTATTTTATGATGTGCTAAGCAGTTTCTGATAATCAACCTTGTAAAGTAAAAACAGCAAAATAGAAGGAAACATCAAGCAAAGGAGAATGTTTAATATATGGCAGAGAGAAACAATCTATTATTGATAATCTGGCATAAAAAGCCTCTTCAGAGCTCAGTTTTGTACCAGTTTGAATGGTCATAAAACTTCAAAACAATAATAAAAAAAAAAAGCAAGATGAGCCACAAAAGAAAATAACTTGAAGAACAACATTTATGTAAATTGACAGTGTTCTTGTTAATGTACATGTAATTTAAATACCAGAGTACTGCAGTAAGAGAGCATTTGTCAGGCTTAGATTGGGAATTCAGCCTTCATTTAGTTTCCTAAGGATTTAATATCCAGGGCTGGCCATAGATGTTCACATTTACAGCCCACTCATGAGTTACAATAAGTAGCTGGAAATACAACACGTGTATCCAGCTCATTACATTTCAGCTAGAAAATTTCCCTTAACTCTTAAGACTACCATTACAACAACCGAGTGTGAAATAACAAGACTTCATATCATGAGCTCCTTTTAATGTCACAGATTTACTGAATGCTAAAATCATTTGAAAGTGATAAAGCATTATTCTTCCTACAGTCTCATAATAGTTTTAATTTCATTTTAAGTACAGTATTTTAGAAAAATGTTTATCTGGTCAATTAAAAACTCCTGAACTAGGTATATACAGAATACAGTGAGTGCTAGATAAACACACATGAAAATGCTCTTATACATACTTCTTTCAAATAATCTTTATGGCTTATAGACTATGAACATCTTCTCCTTTGTGTAACCAATCCACTATGATGGAATCTTCTCTCCATCACCAATTGTCCCGCACATGAAGTGGAAGAGGAGGAGGGACAACAGGACAGGAGGATAACTATTTGCCTTCACACCAGTGCAATACACAGACAAAAAGGTAGAAGCAGGAATCTGCATCAACACAAGACACCCAGACAAGCTGACACACATTGCTAATTAGACAAACCAGTGGCTCTGCAGCGATGTTCTTTGACCTTCACGACAGGCCATGTGCTGCTTGCTTCTCTCCAGTGTTTGGGAGATGGAGCGCGCTTGCTGCACATGGAAGAAGAAATCTCTCTGCAATGTTTCCTTCCTAAGAAACGAATTAGAAAATGCATGTTGCATGCCAGCTGGACTCAAGTACCATCTGCCATTTTTGGTTTTCAGCTGCATAAGAAAAGCCACTTGATAGCCACTCCTGTCTTAACTATTCTAGCCATAGGACATGTTTTAATTGAACCACTGGCCCACAGGTATTCACCCTCTTGCTCCTCCTTCACCCTATCTAGGTACTTAATAAATTACAACTGTTTGCATACCAAACCTAACTGTTGCTGTAAGCTTTATTTATGTTCTTTTTCACTTTCCAGCATGTGAAAATTTGTCCGGCTCTCCACGGGAGAGGCTCATTTAGCTAGTTTTCAAGTAATTAAATCTTTCCTGGTGATTTCCTGATTGCTGTTCCAGACTGATATAATACTGTATTTGCAGAGTCTGCCCTCAGGGACGTTGTTCAAAGCTGTATTTAGGCTTATTATCCACCCACTCTGTCACTTTCAGCAGTAATTTTTTCAATGTGTTGTTTATTCCCCCAAACACATTCATCACTCAGGGCTGACCTGTTATGCAGTGTAGTTTGTTTGCTGATTTTAAATGGTTTGCAGTATTTCTGGACATTGTGCAATTCTCTGTGTGCATTTGTTAAAGAGCATATGTGGCTCAGTATAATACTGCAGGGATTTGAATACCTGACTTTTTTATTTTTTTTCCTCCTTACAGCATTACCTCTCTTGAATTGAGGTTGTAGCTTCTAATTCAGGATTAGAATGAAATGACTTCATTCTTTCCAACCAGAAAATACAACCTCAGGCATATCACCTAAACTGCTTACTGGTAAAATTAGTTATTAAAAAAGCATGGCTTATAGCTGTTTAAAAAGGAGAAGGATTATCAATCTAAGAAGGAAATTGTAAATTAAAAATTTGCAATGAAACAGGAGCAGGTAAAGTTCTTCTGCAGTGATATTAATTTCAATTATTTCTTAAACTAAAGTGGATGTATAAGTAGGTAACTCAGCTCTGTCTAATTTCTGAAAAAAAAAAGCAACCAGGAGTAATAACTTGTTTCCTTATATTAAATGAATAGCAGCTTATTACTAAAACTTGAAAATTTAATAAGTTGCAGTTCATATGCATATTTATATATACAGACTAGGTATTTTATATTACAATTTTTAATCTGGATACTAATATTCTTATGGAACTCTTCTAGTTGTTTTCTAGTGATGTTCTCCTGTAGGAAGAGGAAGAATTTGTAAGTCAAGGTAGTGGTAAAAATTAACGTTACTCATTCAAGATTAAAGCATTCTCCATGTATTTAGTAGTCTTTTTGTGTGTAATATATCCAAGGGCACCATCTGCTGACAGGTTCAGGATGCCAAACAAATGCTTTCATGAATGTTCATATATTGGGAAAAAGTATTGAACATTCAGACCTCACATATATAAGAAAATAGATTAGCTTTGGCTTGATTTTAAGGGGTGTTCAGACTTGATACTGCTGTATTTTTTTTTCAGATTGATTTTTGGAATAGTCAGATTTTGGTCTGATTTTTATCAATCTGCAAGTATTAGCCTGGAGTTCTTTTGCCAGAAACTGTTTCAAATGTGTCCCCAGAGGGACAAGGGAGCATGATGGCTCATTACTTTGAGAGGATAATGCAATGTTGAATCAAAGCAAAGTGTAACATTCCTGTATTGTTTTATTCTCATTTTGTTTGAATGCATTCTTATCCTGATATTTAGGAAAAGACGCAACCAAGTAAAAAAAAAAAAAAAAAAGGCAGGCAGTATGACCAACAATATGCTGTTAGTCACCATTAGCTCATATTTCTTCTTCTTCAGCCTGATAACTTTAGAAGAAAGTGCATAAACTTGTGGTGAACGTAATTGGAACCAAGTTACTGTCAAAATGTGCACAGACAGCGTGACTTTAGCCATCAGAAGATTAGCAGGGAGCAGCTAATACTGTACAGGATATTCTGCTGGGAAGGAGGATTTCATCAGAGTTCAGACAAGCTAGTAGCACAAAGCTGCAGGGTTTAGCTGCTACCATTTTATCAGAATTTACAGATGCACAGGGCCTCAGCAAGTAGTTCCTAGCATCCACTAAATAACTTTTTGCATTGTTACAGTCTTCTTAATTCATGGAAGAGACTGAGAGCTGGATTAAAAACGTCAAAGCCTTCAGTTCCTCAACTTTTACTTAGTTGCAGCATATACATTTTCTCGTCTGACAGGAATTTGGAGGATTTTGAATAAGCTTTTATTGAGCACACTGACTGCTGCCTATCTGAGGGGTGCCCCCACAGCAGATGGCATTTCCCTTAATATTTTGTTTTCACCTGCCTTGTGATGAAGAGATGTTCTAATGCAAAGTACTTGCACACCCATGTTACACAAAATAAAGATCAGTAACAGAAGAACGATATATACTGCAAAGAAAATAAGTTTCAAGTGCATTTATTTTGAAATAAACAATATTATATGCATATCTTCATATTCTACATTACATAAATTATTATTAAACACAAGAAAAATACTCTTAAAAACTAATCTGACATTTTCACATTCTATTTTATATTAAGTGCCTACAGTTAGGAAATATATATAGAAAAATGATAAAATTGTCTCTAGCCAGCCTTAAAAGCAAAGTGCACTATTGCCTAGGGTAGTGGAGGAGCCAAATGATGATGGTGCTGCTGCCTTCTCCGCAGTGAGGACCACTGTGAGCAGGCAGCAGGGACTGAAGATGGAGGGCAACTCCTTCAATAACTCCCTATCCTTTCTTCCCATTTTTTGTCCTTCATTGCTGAAGTAACAAATTGGGTTTCACATACACTGACAAGAAGCAGTGAGACAGTTCTGCGTACCAAGATGATACATTGAATACCAACGATTCCCTAAATGATCACATGGGGATTGCAGCTTATCCATGTTCTGTTGTGTCAGTTCAAGAACCTGTATACAAATCTTTTTTGATTTTTGTTGTCAGTGGTTTAAGCATGTCAAGTTGGAAATTTGGTAAGTATTTATCATGAATTAAAATAGCATCTTCCAAAAGCTTTCTGAACTGGCTCTTTCTTAGATTAAAACCACACCTAAAGAGACATTCTAATTAGCCTTTTTTTTTAATCTTTGAAGAGGAATTTCTTAAACAGCCTGCTTTTCATTTTGTTTTAATTTTTAAATAGAGGTAATTCTTATGATAAATTAAGTATTTATGAACTTAGGTGTTCTTCCACAGATGCTATACATCTTTTCCACTTGCATGCAATGTTAAGATGGTATTCAAACAACATGCACTAAACACAATTTTGGAATGTTTGCTTACAAGTACTTGGAGTAATAGAAGATTTAAAACCATTATTTTGGTTTTGTCTTGTCAACCAAACAAAACACTTACCTTTCTGGTAACATTAATTTGTTGACATTAGTTTTAAAGTGTCTATCCAGATAGAAATCTTTCAAGGCACAGACTGTTCCTAAACATATACAGATTTAGTTAAGGTCCAGTGAACCTTTTCAAGTATGATATAAAAATTGTGTTCATGTTTCTTTAGACCTAATTAGACCACATAATAATCATTTTGAAAGGGTGTAAGAAAAAACACGGCTACTGAATTGCAAAGAAAAAAAATAGAGAACAGAAAAAACAAATTAACAATGTCCCTATGACTGTTTTGGTAACATCTAAATGTACAGGACATAAAAGGTCATGGTGGCTACTGACTGTCTGTAGTCTCCATCACCTTATTAAAACCCAATTTATGTCTAATATTTGATGCATAATAATCAAATCATATAACTGAGCGTTACTCTGAGCTGCTGCATGCATTTGTTTTCTTTTGCTTTTTAGTTTGACACAAACACAAGTTATTTAACCATTTTCCAGATGCTGCATTCCAGAATAGCAAATTAGATGACAACAATTTCTACTCAGTACCATGTCTTACTTCATATAAAAGTGCACTATTCACAAGAACACATGAAATTTTACTCTTATAAGTGAATTTATACATATGGAAATACTGTTTAGAATAAATATTATGAAGTGTTACTTAACATGAATTTGAATATTTTGACTTTCCTTCAGCATATTGCTCATAAGATATCTTAAAATCAATATAACTTTTTAAAAGATAAATTAATAAAAATAATAGTAAGACTTAGAGAATCTCAACATTATAGTCCATACAGTACCTCTCTCAGGTAAATACCTATCTTTCACATTATGACCATAATATTATTACCATTTTCAATATAACTGCTTTGTTATAGCTTCTAAGAGTTTAATTTGTACATTCAACTCGTATGTAATTGTTATGCTACATAACACACTCTCATTTCCAATTCAGCGCAAACATTTAGTAGTGTTCTTCTGAAAGCAAATTCACAGTCTAAGTTGATACGGGCAGTTTGTGTTCGTTGCCAAAACATTTGCTTACCCAGGTGTAATCCTTTTTTGTTTTCCTTTACGTGACAAACGTATCTCAAAATAATGACAAATATTCAAAATGTGATCTTAAAAAAAAAAAAAGACTTCTGCCAATCAGAGGATAGTTTGTCATTTAAATAAATACATACTGAAAACTGGCTGTAAGGGTTCATAACCAGTACTTTTAGTGGAAAAGTTGTCCTCTGTTTTCTAACACAGCTGGAAGATTCACAATTCACCTGGGTTAGCTTGTTCTTCATCCAGAATTTATAGGAATAAATATAGTTCTAGCCAGTGCACGTAATCCTTATTTCTTTCTTTATCTTAGCATATCTCGTCTCCGAAATTGCTTCCATAGATCTCTGAGATGTTCACTGGTTACAGTCATCACACAAGAATAATATTCCTTCCAACCAGACTTTGGACTCTCCTGTGAAAAATGAAAACAGAATTGAAAAAAGATGTTTTTTGCTCTGATACTACATTAAATTTTACTCAGACTCATACAAACTAGATATATGATTTAATACTAAAATAATGAAAGATCAAGTACTTTTATGGCTCAAAAGTACCTACGATGAGGGTTATAAACCTTTAGGTAGGGTAAGATTTCAAAAAACATCCTCACCTCACAGCACACAGCATTCAACCAAAGCCTATTTATATTAAAAGCTGTAGTAAAGGACTATTCCTATTCATTCAGATGTGTCTCCTACTCTTTATATAGCTTTGTTTCTTCCTTCTTCATGTTGACACTGCACCAAAAAAGTTCACCTCTAGCATGAACATAGCTATTCATGTTCATGAAACTGAGGGATTAACAAAAGCCAAATATAACAAAAAGTAGATGATATGAAAGCTTCTTTATACTAGGTTACCTTAAACCTAAACTGCATTGTAGCTCAGTAACATTATTAAGTGCCCATTGAATGGAGAGGAATAATGGCCAAAGCCTGTCCTGGGAGACTAAATAGCCTGTATGCTGTCTGCAGGCATCACTAGATCTCCTTATTTCTTCCACTATACCTAATTTCACAAGCCTGTTTTGATAGTGTGTACACAAAGACAGAGCAGGATAGCAACTGGGGAAAGAAGCTAAGGGAGGAACAACTGTTGATGAGTCAGAAGCATTTTCAAGTAATTTTCAATTGTAATCCCTCAGCATCTACAGGAAAATGGTTACAGAGTCAAGGTGAGAGACTGCTTGTTTTGGTTATCTAAGTGAAGTTGTGAAAAATATCGTGCCATCACACAATACCACCCATTACAGAATGAAACCTATATTCCCAAATATCCTTATTACTATTCTTATTACTCATGGTGTATAATTAAAATCATAAAGTATTATGCAGAAGTTGTAAATACTCAGAAAACAATCCAATCCACAGCAGTATATATCACAGACTTTAAATGAAATATTAGAAATAATACTTACATTAATATGTAATTTATGGTCAATTTTATTTAAAAATGCATTACTTGTACAATGCATTGCAGTATTTAACAAAAGCACATTCAGTTGATTAACTGGTGCTTTAAGATATGCATTTACTTTTTATTTTATTAAACGGATTCAGGAGAAATGTTCATGGAAATCTGTAAGAGAAATGCTAAACTACATGAACTGTTCGCCTACTTCTAAATGTATACATTTTTGTTGTATCTACTCTCAGTGTACTAAACTTACAGAAGAAACATCTTGTCACATTGCTGTCTGATATCTTCCTATTCCAGTGGAATATTTTCCTCCCACTGTATCCAGAGATGTTTTTAAGGGTCTACTCAATTTTAGTACCAAGTCTGACTTCTGTAACTGCCAGTTACATTTGTAAAGTGACTAAGGATGTGGCTATCCCACACTTCTTACTTCTGCTTTGGAGATGAGTTAAGCATCAGGCTACTTCAGTTTTTATTTTTTATTTTTAAAAGTTCTCTCTTCTGATAGAGGTATTCAATTATTGTATAATAGTAAAGTATAGGAAACTAACAGCTTTTGAAGTATTAACTACATGACAAACCAGAAGATCGAAGATAGTAATTTATTATTGAAGTATGAATAAAAATGAGGTTCTAAATTCATGCTTAAGTCTTTCACATCTTTCTCAAAGTGAAATTTCCTTCCCCAACCATTCCTATTTCTGTTTTACCTACTATTACTTCCTAAAAAAAAAAAAAAAATTAGAAATTGTAAAACCCCACAAAATTCAGATAACCTAACAAACAGTTTTTGTAATTCAAAAATCTTAAGGTATTGAATAAATCATTGGGATATACATCTCCATTTCTAGTTTTACAATTGTGACAGAGTATTTATGCCAATACTGTAAAAGTCAATACAATCAGAATTAACAGCTTAAATACCTATTACAGTTACTGAATACAGAAACAGTTTATCAAACAGCATGTTTGAATGGATTAGAATTCCTAATGAAGTTGGCCTCTAGCATCCTGCTTCAGAAATGAAAAGAAAGATGGAGAGGGACTCTTTGCCAGGGACTGCAGTGATAGGAGAAAGAATAATGGTTTTAAACTAAAAGAAGATTAGATGTAAGGACGTAAGGAGGAAATTCTTTACTATATGGCAATGAGGCACTGGCACAAGTTGCCCAGAGGAGCTGTGGATGCCCCATCCCTGGAGGTGCTCCAGGCTAGGCTGGATGGGGCTGTGGGAGGTGTCCCTGCCCACGGCAGGGGGTTGGAACTGGGTGGGCTTTAATGTCCCTTCCCATCCAAACCATTCTGTGATGCTGTGATTCTAAATTAACTCTGGAAGGGCTTTGTTAAAAATTTAATGGATAGCCTTTTCTTAACACGTTCAGAGTACAGTCCTCCTCTCAACTCTACTCATCAATTCTTTAGTAAAGTTTTTTTTTTCCTGTTCTCCCTACAGTACATACAAATCAGTACACCTGCTGATGCCAAGCCAGGTTCTGTGCCCTGCAGCAAGAACAATGTAGAAAGACAAGCTCTCCAACAACATTGTCAGCTCTTTAGATCACAGGGAGCTTGTATAATTAATCCCCAAGGACAGATTTTCATTATTTATTATAAGGGTATAACATTCTTTATGCTGTGAAGCAAATGGCATTTGTGCAATTTAGAGAGATGCACTGTTCAGCACAATGAACTGTTTATCCCATTTCAGGGTGCCAGTTCAAACTGTGGTATAATCAGTGGTAAGTATGCCAAAAATCTGCATTTTTTTCATCAGAGTTCTAAGTTTACCACAGTAAGTATATCGAAGCACAATAATCTTTACATTTACATTTGGAACAAAGTAAAATTCAGTGAAACCACACTGTATCTAATCTTGGGGTGCGGTCACAGCAGATTTTTGTATTTCGCATAATTTATGTTCTGTGTTTTGTTCCATTCTGTACATCAGAAATTGTACATCAGACTGGAATTTAATTAACAATTGAAACTTTTCAATTTCAAATCCCCAATGAATCAGTCTTCATTCTCTTTTCCATTTAAAAACAAAATAGAAAATAATTCTTTTTCATTCACTTTCACCTCATACTGCATAGCAAAGACAAATTTACTTTCTCCCCAATAGCTAACTCTAAACCACTTCTTAAATATTTTGACTAAAGTTTCCATCACAAAAGTTTGTAACTACCTTTAAGAAATACTTATAATATCAAATTATAAGCTATGTAACATTTTACACAAAAGGAGCTCAGAAGAGCTAACAACTAGATGTTAACGTAATCTACTACAAGAGACAAGGAGCAGTTACTCAAGTGATGAGCAGTGTCTGACCAACACGTCTGTAGGGAAGAAGGAATTTTACATGTATGAGGCTTATACCACATTCTTCACTGCACAAGGAATGTGCATCTGATATTGTCCTACACAAGCAAGCTTTTGATACCAGAAGCATTCCATCACTCAGGAGTTCCAGGTGGCAAGAGCAGGCTAAATTAACCAGCATCTCTACACTACTATCATGAGGCTGCCTGTGATCATGGAACTGCACATGGAATGACTTTGTTTTCTCCGTGCTGTCTCACAGTGTGTACTGTTATTCATTATTCCATTATTCAACTTCAAAAATTTTCCTTTAAAGTGACTTTATACAGACAAAATACAGATAAAATCTCCCTTTATAAATCTCCACCGTGTATGTGTGCAAATATCTGTATACGTTAATATATGTTTTCTTCTTAGAGTTTACTCTATCTTAACACTCAATTTATTGCCTGAATTCAGACTCTGTCAAGATGTCTAGGTATGTAAACTTGATGCATTTATCACAGTCTCTGTTTTCGCCACTAAACTGATTTTATTAGGCATGATGATTAGACATTGGATTCCTTTGTGTCACTTCATTTTGCTCCAGTCAGCCACATAACCTTCACTGAAGGTATCAGGAAAGCATCGTGACTGTATAATGTTTTGCCTATGTCCTGTAACAGCTGCTCGCTATCTTGACAAGTTCAGAGTTTAAACAATACTTGTGCAATTACAATGCAGATTGTACCTGGCAATGTAAAATGTAAAACAAACAAACAAACAAAAACAAAAACAACTTAATCAATGGCAGAATTAGTGGGGACAAAAAGACACAGCATGATATTTAAAGATATGGGAAAATAAGAAAGGAAATTCTGAAAGAGTCAAAGTTTAAAAGAGATTAAGTTGCACTCATTTTACCTGAAGCTACAAATTTCCTCTTATGTGATTGTTGAGCTAAACCAACATTTTAGTAATCCAAGTACTTCATTAGCTATTTATAGCTACATAATATAGCTATATTATAGCTATAATATAGCTATATAATTAATAGAAATTAATTGGCTGGAGAAACTAGACACTTTGTTAAGATCAATTCTCCTTTTTTGTTCCTTACGTACTAGTAAAATGTTTCAATATTTAGGTTATACTAACTATATGTTAACAATTAATCAAAATAATAAAGAAATAATCCTATGGTTATTATTATTCTAATGTAACAGTATCGTGTATGCAGATGAAATGGAACTCATGTTCTTCTGTGAAGACAAATCAGCTGCACAAACCTGGATATGCCCCAAGCTAGCTAGTAATAGTAATACTGCATTTCAAAAAAGCATCCTTCTCAAAAGATGTGACACTTCATTGGAAAAAGAAAAAAGTACAAAAAGTACTAAAGACGACAGCTTGGGACACATGCCATGGGGATGTGTCAGTAGTTTAAGTATTATTCTTTCTCCCTTCCCTATCTTGCACAGGCATCTACAAAAGAAAAACATCTGAGGGACTGGTAAGCTGGTGGGCTACCAGTACAAGTAAATGGACCACACCTCTCATTCTTAAAGACTTGATTTTCCACTGTGCTGGAAGCCAGCCACCACCTCTGATAAGCAGGATCCAAGGAAATCCTAATGAATGAACCTATATTGTTTGCTTTCCTGCCTGTTTAAAAGTTAGGGAAGAAATATTTAAACCTGAGACATCCAGACATGTCTTCTTGATATCTTCAATTGATCTTTAAAGATCAATTAGATGAGAAATCTCAGCTTAATATTATTCCTCAGAATTTAAAACATTGGGGGAGCCATAGTCAAAACATCCGAGTCAAAAGCACGTGAGATGCATTGGCTACTCCACTGGTTCACTCACACACCACTGGCTATGGGGTTTTGTTTGGTACATCTCTTTGTTCCTCCCCATTGCAAAATAATAAATCTGGGACCTATATTAGCTGCTGCTAATGGTCTTCATTAGCAACTGCTGCAAAGCCTATAAACATAAACAGGAAAAAGGTGCTGGCACCAAAACCATCAATTGCAAAGGAGCAAACTCTTGACTTAGGCAAGGGAGTTTAAGATTCAAACAAACATTTCTGCTGTGTCCAGAGTGGTTTTGCAATATGTCTCCAGAATATTTAAACTGCATTTTTTACACTTCACAATACAATTTAATTGTAAGAATGAATATTCATGTGGTGGATACACAGAAACAGCCATGGTGGTCATGTGCAGTCACAGTGCCTATTTTTGAACACTTCTGATGTAGAATAAATTGTGCCCAAACCACATTTCTGTTTTCAAAAGCAACTGTATAAATCAAAGAAGAATCAAGTTACTTACTGGCCCTCAGAGAGAAAAATTTGCTTTTAGAATCTTCATTGGTAAATATTTATTAGCTCTACGTACTTGAGAAATTACTGAAAAGATGATCACAGGACAGACAGAAAACAGTAACAGAAACTAGGAAAGGATGGTTTTCCCTATTCCAAACATAGCACAAAGTTGCAATTGGCTTACAAAACATTGACAGCATGAATTAGTTATTGCCAACTCCAGAATAAAATCCTACCACTTCAGTCAAAAACACAACATGACATTTGGAGCTACTACATTGCTTACAATCAGATAACTTAACTCCTGAATTCTGAAATGGGAAACAACGCAGTGACAGTTTAACATTCAGCCATTCCTGCAAGCATGCCAGCACACTCAGACTGGGCAGCTAACACATACCGTAATTTATCTGCTATAGAGTTCCTTCCTCACGCAGGATTTGAAAGTAGTATACCTCTGTATAGGTTTGTAGCCCTGTGGAGCAGAAGATGGAGAAGTGCGCAGATGCAGACAACATGTGAAGGCAGCCAGTTAAGCATAAGACAACAGTATCATGAAAATACAAAAAAAATGGCTTTAAGTGACGAATAACTAGAAGATACAGTATTGTATTTGTTAGGTAAAACCTTTATCATTTAGTCATCAAGGACTGAATCTTTCAGTTTAAAAATTTAATTTATAAAGGAAGGGGAATCTACTTGGATATTTTTAAACTGAAAAAAAAAAAAAGGAAATAACTTTTAAACCAAACAGCAATCAGAAAAGAAGCTTTTCATTTTAAGTTTATGGCAATACTCTAACTGACCACTTGATGGCAGATTATATACTAGTGTGCTTCAAAATAGTAAAACCATAAAAAGTCTCAGATTATGATACTGTGTTCCAAAAAGAGAGAAATTTCATTTGATAAACTCTTTAAGATTTTGTTTTCTCAAAACCATACTTCAAATACATGTTAAAATGAACATTTATAATGTTTCTATAAGGGGTAGCACCTGACATCAAGTTCAAAAATTTATGGCTCAGTTTTTAAATAGGACAAATAGGACACAGACCTTTCAGAATTCCAGTTTCATCACACTTGAGTAACTCTTTGCTCTTGCTTTAAGTGCCTTTACTTTAGTTGCATTATATAATTACAAATGCCCTTTTTTTTTTTTAATACATGGTTCTAGTAACAAGATTTGTAATATGCTCAAGATTCTTCTGGGCAAACATTTTCATAAAGCTACTTTAAAAAAAGTTGAATTACTAAGCAGAAATGCTAACTGTGAAATCACACTTCACATCATAGGTCTGTTTTAATCTGCTATTTTGAGATGTTTTTAGAATGATAATCAGGAACTACACTGACTGGGCAGGCATTAATTGTAAGATAATTAATATTAAAATCAGGCATTTACACTTGATAACACAGGTTAAAATTTGACAAGGCAAGGGTTTCCACGGAGCTACAAACTACTACATAAGCGGAAGCTATAATGTTCTTTGACCTGTACAATGAACTGACCAAATCTTCATATAGTTTCAAAACATAGTTATTAACAAAGAAAAGATTAGTGACTTGTTAGTTTTGATTTAGCACAAGACAATGTTTGAGCCTACCACAGTGTAGAAGCTAAAAAGTAAATTTTTACTTGGTCTGATCACACTAAATAGTGTACAACTTTAAATGTACAAACAATAGGAAGCACTCCATAACACTTTCCACCAATCGGTTCTGGACTGTAGGTTCTTATATTTCTTCTTGTTCCCCTTGCAAAACAATACGGGGGAAGGAGGTGTTACTAAACTTAAAAGGAGGATTTGTGCAGAGTTTTCACATCATAGACCACTATCCACACACCCAGAAAAATCAGGTTTGTGTGATGCTTACAAAACCTTTCCTGAAGTGGTTAACTGACAAGTTAGGTACTGTAGCTGTCTTGGAGTACTACTGACCAGTGAAAAGAAAGTTTTTTTTTTTTTTCTTTTTTCCCTGAATAATCTATCAAATCTGCATGTAAGTATGTTAAAAAAAAAAAAAAAAAAAGAATATAGTATTTTTGGTCACTGAGCTATAGGACCAAATCATGATCTCCTTCTACACAATCCAGGAGATATCCAATATATAATTAAAACTAGACTCAACATTTATGAATGAAGGTGCTACTTGTCTAAACATCATTGCCTATCCCTCATAGTTTTTATAGTGTCTACTAGAATATTTTCAAGTGGCCTCAGCAAAAGAAAGGCACATGCATAAGTTTAAATAGTGCTGGATGACACTCAAGAATTGTATGTGATTTCTGTCATGCATTTTGTGAAATAGAAACATGTAAAACACTTACAAGAATTGCTTAGTAAGCAGACTGTGCTCTGGTTAAATTAACATACACTGCACATTTACATTTAGTAAACAATTAAAACATATAGCTGAACATCTTGAAACGGTTATGAAACAGTCATCATTCCCACACCATAAAGGATTTGAGGACCAACAAGAAAATAAGCTCATCACAAATGTAGTGGTTGTTATCCACACTTTTACATTAGGTCATATTACAAAAATAACAAGTAACCTATTAGACCCAACATCACAGAAAGTTCTAAAATTGCATTTAGAAACCTAATTAAAAATGACTAAAATTACATTACAGAAATAATATACCAAAATGTGAATTTAGAAACCATTATACACTCCTTACAGAGAGGTTAAAGTTCAAAATTTATGCCTAAGGGATTAGGTTGTAGGTAAAAACAGAATTTTGCACTTGGTTGAAAATGTTAACACCTGTTATATGAAGAAAACAATACAACTGTTATTGATCATACTCTAATTTAATTTTTTTCTGCTACTTTACAATTGCTACAGTGTACTGTATTACACTGAACCTGAAGAGGGCAGTAAGGCCTATACATTCACCTAAAGGACAAAGTTCTATGTGTGATTTACAAGCTTGTTCCCTAGGAAAATTTTCTGCAAGTAATTTCCTGCCCTCTAGCTTCTTGTAATTTAATATGTTAGCTACAGGTTTAAATTATCAAAAGCAACTTTGAAGCAGAATATAGTGTTGTTCAGTGTAACTTCACTAATTCTTTATTTGAAAATTTAAACTATCATATGCTGCAACTCTTTCCAACACTCATTGTCAACACTTGGTATTTTAAATGTTTTAAAACAGCTGATGGACCTTTAACTAAACTGCCCAAGTTAGAGAGACAAACTCTTTTTCCTGAAAAAAAAACAGATGTAATTAATATCCTTGTTAAAACTCCTAATGCTAATCAATCAGTTGAATGATACAGAAAAAAAATACAGTATGCAGTGGATTGTTCATCTCCAATCTGATTTGTTTGACTGCTTCAGGATTTCTCTAACTTATGTTTAAATATATAAACATTTGGTTTGCAACATATTGATGCTTCAGATCACAAAGTAAGTAACAGTAAGTAGTGAAGTCAATTAAGGTAATTACAAAAATTAAAATCCTTACCCTAAACCCTCGATTAAGTCTATCTTTCATAATGCCGATAAATTCTTTGTAACTCAATTGGTCATCTCTGTCGACATCAAAAATCTTGAACACTGTGTTCACCAAATGTGGTGAAAGCTTCACACCTGTGGCTACATACACAGCACGCTTGAATTCATCTACATAAAGAAAATAGCAGAAGAAAAATAAACACAGAAATTTAAACTTGAGAAACTTGGGATTAGGAAAATCAAGTAAACTTTTAAAATAAGCTTTCACACTTAAGCACTCAAGAATAATAAAACATGAAAAGTAGAACTTAATTTCACAGGTCTAAAATAGGTAGTTCTCAAATGGTAATAATACATACGATATCCTTTATTTTGCATGAAATACAACAGCCCACATGTAGTATACTATATGTAGCAAAATCAGAAAAATTTATTGTAATTCACCTTACATTACATTTATACTGGTGATATCTACTTAATTTACAAAAACAGAACTTGGAATATCGAGCACAGAGAAAACCATATATTCCTTTCGTAAGGCCACATAAGGTAGGACTACACTGGTGCTAACGTGTTAGACACACTGAGATGCTACTTGGAGTGAGCACACAAGTTTGACATCTTCATGATTGTTCATCTTGCACTCACCAAGCATCTCAACTGTCGTGTTAAGCATTTCACCTGGTATGTGCTCTTTCAGTGCCCACTTACTGATTTGTTCAAAAATATGTCTAATTCCTCTTTGAACCTCCTGATACTGTTTCCTTCTATGAACTTCACAGCCCTGAGTTCACAGACCCACTGTGTAAATAAATGCTTTTGTTTGCTTTAGGCTGATCTCTTACTAGTGTCATCAAGTGCCTCTTAACTCTTGTATTGCAGGATTTGGTGATAAACTCTTCTGCGTTCTGCATATCTACCACTCACATGATTTTGTAAAGCTTTATCATATCTTTTATGATAATTGAGACTTCCCCTTTCAAAGCTAGATTTCTAGCCTTTTTAGCATTTTACCTTAGATGCTAAAACTAAAAACTAGGACTCACAGAACAATTTCCTCTCTCTTTTTGTCAACAGTTCAGTATCTTTGTCAACAAATGTAATAATTATCTGACTTTATAATAATACTTACCCTGACCTATGGAACGACTTGCAAAATTATACATTTGCATTGCAATTGTAAAGTCCTCTAGATTGTTCAAGAACTGGAAAAATGATCTAAACTCATCAAATGTGATACCCTAATGAATAAAAGAATATGTGTATTAGTACCATTAGAATTATCAGTAATGGTGACAAGTGAATAAACAAACCTTGCCATTACATATGTCTACTTCATTTAATAGTAGATACTACATTCATCAAAATAAACAAAAGTTTCCACTGAAGATAGTGAAGTAAAGAATTGTAGCCACCTGAAGAATGTAAGATGTTTTTCCTATTTGCCACTGCAATGGACAGTACTTCACACTCAAAATACAGTTAAAAATGCTGTTCCACAACTTAAGGCACTCTTAAAAATTCCAGGAGGATTTTTATGATATGGCAGCAGATACTGAGAATAAAAGTTCAGGTTTGCATAAATATCAGAATATGTCTACTACTCAAAATCTGCAAACTACTATTAATTTTATGTGTGTGTGCAAAAATACACTGAATTCATAGTCACGTTAAGATCTAATGTAAGCTCTATACTTTAAGTTGAGGGTTTTACATATCCAGATTTAGCCATGTAAATCTCTTCAGTTGATACTCTATGTTTTACATTACAGGGCTTGTTCAACTTAAATAGAAACAAACAAACAAACAAACCCACAAACAACCTTTTAAATTTTGATCAGAATTCAAATTTCTTCTGTGAAGGTGCTAAGTTGTTAAAAGAACATTTTTTTTTCTTTTCTTGTGGTATTCTACTTCCCTCTACACATGCAAAGTGCTGATAATTTACCTCTAAATCATATGTGAAAGAAATCTTAAACAGACACTTTGAATTGAGCCAGGATTGAATTAATGCCTGCCTCTCATTTGCTAGAATAGGAATACCTTTCTATGTAAAATAAATTAAAAAGTTCAGTTTCCTTTGGGCAGATTATATTTTAATACAGCAAATAAAACTGTTATATTAGTGCACAAATTCTGTTAAAATTCATAGACTTTCCTTGGAAACTGATATTTGTAGTAGTTTCAGTTAAACAAAAAAACATCTGGGAACCATGAAAAAAGAGCTTCACACAATTTTTGTTGCACTGTCTTGGCTTTATATATTAAAAGCTATGCAGACCTTTTACAGAGGACTTAGAACTGAACTCCTCAACAGCTAGACTGGCAACTCAGGAAGGGTCAGTGAATAGAAACTCTGATCCCACCCATACTGCTTCCTCTTACACCTAATCTGGTACAACAGAGACAGCCCTGCCTTCCCTTTCCATTCCACAGCCATCAAAAAGAACCACACACCCATCAGTAATTATATATGTGACCCATTATTAAAACTATAATACAGCTAGATTTGAATCCAATGAAAAAAAGAAGTCAGAAAAAAGCGTTTTTTAAAATCTCATTGCTAGAAAATTGTTTTCTCAAATCTTATGTTTTTTGTTGCTTAAGGTGAACTTGAATGTAATATAAAGCTTCAAAAATATCGTTAACTAAATCACATAATGAACACAAATAATTTGATGTTATTTACTCTTCTACTTTGTATTGAAGAAGAAATCTGAAAAATGGAAGATGCACAGATTATTATCAGAATAAATTCCTGGTGCAGATGAGATCTGAGACAGAATCTTAAAACTTCAGTCCAGCAACGGTATGTTTTCACCTTGATGACACTGGGATTTGGTGCTGTGGCCCACTGCTATCCTAGCTAAACAGTTACCTTTTCTTCAGGAATCCTACAGCGCATGTTTTCCAGGTAACTTGATGTATTTTCCACATTTGTATATCTCAAAAGAATATGGGCAAAGTCTTCCTCACTGATGGTGTTCATCCCATTAGAATAGGAAAGGAATTCTATCTCTAGAACTTCAGTTTGTAGGTTGTCCATAAATCTGAAGCATAAATATGAAGCAATATTTATTGCTATAGCACATGGCTTTTTATTATAGAATTATAGCATATCCTGAATTGGAAGGGACCCGCACTGAGTCCAACTTCTGGCTCCACACAGGATCAGCCCCAAAATCAAACCATATCTGTTTTATTTTGTTAATTGCTTTATTTTGCTCTTCGTATGTGTAGTGCTGAGGAAAAATAACATTTGTATCCCATATACATTATATACATAAATGGATAAATTATATGTATAGTAATGTAATAAACATTAATTATAACATATAAATATTTCTTTACAAACAATTCATAAAATAGAGACTCACCTATAAAAATCTTCAAAGTTCAGTTCAGCTTTTCCTTTCTTGCCAAAAAAGTGTACAAGCAGCGTCGTATCTGACAGTGAACTTGTAGTATCATCAGCACGCTTAAATATTAAAATAAAAAAAAATTAAATGCCATTATTGGATCAGTTACAGAATTATAATCTGGGAATGACTATCAGCACAATAGGCCTTTCTATCAAACAAGTTTGTATGTTTTACATTCACAGTATTAAAAGGATTTTAGTATTAAAATTAAAGTTAATTTAGTCACACAATTTTCATGCAGAAGAACTTTCGGCTGTTAATTGCATTTAGTAGAAAACACTCTGAACAACAATCTAATATAATGGTTGAATACAGTGAACAATCTAATCTAATATGATAAAGGTGGAAAAAAAGAATAAAAAACAGAAGCTCTTGAGAAAAAAATGATCTAGTCAGTTGAGGTAAATCGTAAGAATAACACCCTCTGCATACAATCTCCTCTACTTTCTACTAAGCAACTACAAAGATATTAAAAGTAGTTACATCATATAATCTTATTTTATGTTTCATAATTAATAAGTATGGAACCGTATTCCAGAAACAATCAATAAGGTGTACGTTATTTGATTCTGTGTTATAAGTAGCAGAATGACAACAGATCACATTTTCTTGTCAAAAGAGATTGAAAACAACAGAATTGTAAAAAACAACAACAACTACAAACAAAACAAAATTCCATGGAGGGATATTATTTTCATTTATTCTCTTAAGAATATTCATCATCTCCTGAGGATGTGGTCCCTGCAGAGACTTTTTCCTTAATAAATAACTATCAACTTCTAAGGCATGAGAAGAGTAGAAACAACTCATTTTGACCATTTGTTATAGGAAGACTTCTAAGTATGTGCAACATTTTTTTTTAACTATATAAATATTCATTACGCATAACTGTCAATGTATGTGCATTGAGTTTTACCTCTTTTACAAGGAGACTCTTCATATACTGAAGAGCTAGAAAAATGATTCACCAAAATAAGGGTCTTAAATAAGCCATAGTATTCCACCATGGAAATGTCCTTCAGTTCTTATGTACATCTGACTATATTTGAAATTCAAAAATATATGTAGCTTTCTTGTGCACCTGCCTAAGGAGAAACTTCTGTCCAAGCTCCCATTTTCTTACGAAGACAAGATCTTATTTAAAAGCAAACGGTGGGAGGCAGTAGTCTCTGCTAATAGCTTGCCTTGGACGGACAATCAGCAACACCATATTTTTATGAAAGTATGCCTACTGTCTCCACTCTTAGAGTACAAAATAGAATATACAGTACAGAAACCTAGCAAGTATTTAGAAGATGACTTATAATATTAGTAATTTGTCACCATGAGAGATTATAAACATATAGGATTTATTTTAAGTACAGAAATCTGGAAAGATCAGCTTATACAAACCTGCAAGCAGCACTCAGAATCCTTTAGGTGTGACTTTATTTCCTAACTGAAGAGATCATGTATTTATAATAATGGAGAAACTCTAAATGAGGAAACTATTCTATTCTATTCTAAACTCTAAATGAGGAAACTAATACTATTCATTAATAGTATTTATGAATCAACAACTAGGAAAAACATGATGCAGTAAAAACACAGAATCTTTCCTTTTAATATCCAAGAGCTAAAGAAGTAAGAGGGAAACATTTCTATACTTCAGTATAATCAGTGTAGGATTCTCAAGATTATATTTCATGTGCTCTAGCTTCCTCTTTATTCTCCTATTCTTCTCTAGGGAGAAATAAGATGATGTAGTGTATATATATATATGAGAGAGGTATTTCATGCCCTTCAGTTAAATCAGTGAGCAAATTAATTCAGAAAAGTAATCACTATTTGTCTTTTAATATTGTTATCCTCCACTACAAGACACAATATACTGAAACACAGATACCCTGATTTCTTATGTCCTGTAAGCAATTAAATCCCCAAGTACATTCAAACAATTTCCCTCAAGTACACTGAAAAGATATCAAATGTTAAATTACAGCCTTTCATCTTGCAAAAAACTTCAAAACATTAGACTTAGGTTGCATTCACCCATACCTAAAGAACCATTTAAAAAATAAAATCTGTAAGTCTTTTCACAATTCCCATTTGGCTAGCCTCACCAAATGAACAAACAAAAAAAATCAATCCCTAAAAACCTCACCCCAGAAACTCAACCCCGTAGGCTTCTCCACAGAATTACAGGCAATGAAAAACTCCTTCTGCATTGATAGGACTATATAAGTTCTCTCTCTTAAGGGTAAAAACATAAGCTTTAGTCACTTAAAATTAACTTTAAAACAAACAATAAACTAATGTTCTATTTTACATCAGAGAAAATTAAATGAGCAAACCTATTTCATAGAATCATAGAATATCCTGAGTTGGAAGGGACCCTTAAGGATCATCAAGTCCAACTCTTGACACCGCACAGGTCTACCCAAAAGTTCCATATATAATAGATGAAACTTTTTTGATCCATCAGTACTACACTGAAAGATTACTATTACTATATTATTACTATGAATTATTACTATAAACATTGGTCTAAAACTCAGTTCTGTAACACTACATGAAGATTTTTGCAAAAGCAGATCAATTCAAGGTGTTAGAGGTACAAAGAAACTGTATTTGATACCTGGGAAATGCAGTTTCTACCTTAAGAGAATAATCAATGACCACGTTTTGTTCAGCCTGCAATAATGAAAACTGAGGGCTATGACTGTTTTTATAGACACAAACATGAGTAAAAGAATAACAAAACGTGAAAAAGCCCTCCTAAAATTAAAGGGCAACAGACTAAAGGAACTATGAGTAAATTTAGCTTGGAAATTGGAAGGAGTCCATCCACCTCCTCAGGTTATAGAATAGCTTCTGAAGAGGAACAGCATGGACAAAATACCAATTACTTTTAATATGGAGCATACATTGTTTATGAAGCAAAGAAAAAGACTATTTTACTCAGGTAGGTCTGTTTTAGTTCTCTGTTCTTTCTCATTATGATCCTGCTTATGAAGCATAACACAAGAGAATCAGCAAGGCGTTACCACAACTAATGCTACAAATCCTAGAAAAGCAATCAATTTCTCTATATGGGGCACAGGAAAGCCTAAAAAATCTAGTTTCTAGCCTAAAAAATCTAAAAAATCTAGACCCTCTTAAGCAATCAGTACAAATGTCTTATTCAAGTATTTGAAAGTAGATCATGAAGTAAGAATCTTACTAGAATATAAAGAACTAAGGAAATTTGACAGCTCAGGGATATTGCTAGTCCTCCATAATGATTTTGTAATATTCAGTAAGATTGACAAGTGTTTTCGTTACCTTAAAATATTGCTTTTCCGATCCAACAACTGTGTGATACTGTTTTTGTGAAGATAAGCTTCAATAACATGCATAAAAAGTACAATAAGGACCTAGAGATTAAATCCTTAAGGGGCTTAACTCTCATTTAAATTGTCACATCACTGGACCAAATCTAAATGACAAAGGTTTCCTGAACTTTCTCTAACTGTGAAATAGTGTCACTGTTAATGTTAGAAAATGCTTCCTACAGTAAGTACTGAAGAGGACTTGATTTTCCAACTCTTTCAAAAAGTAACTTTGCTTTTACTTGGAAATGAAAACTTTGAGTTGTTGCACTGCATAGAATCAAATCCATTTCATCTGAGAACATTCAGATTTAAAGAAAGTAAAAGAAGGAAAAGGAACAAAATGCATGAAATAAGAGAACAATCAGAACAGAAATAGATAAAATAACGATGTGTTTATGGACCAGAGACAGAGGTTGTCTTATACCTCCGCAAGGTCTGAAAAGAGTGCTTGACTTGTGCTACGTCTCAAAGTATCCCAGTAGCTTCTGGGGACAAGGTCCTCTCCTTCTGTTTTAAGAACCTGCAGAAGTTTCAAGAAGCACAGTAAAACAACATGTTACAGACATTAAAATCTTTCCTAATTGATCCTCAGAAACAAGGCTTGATTCTTTTGCTTCTACACAGTGAAATCTCTACCCAGTTATATGACACTTTGTAAAACCAATACTGGTCCGTTATGGCTATTTGATTTTTACTTAAAATGTGGCTGTGCTGAAAGTATCACCAGACTCCACCTACCCAAAGTATGCAAGCTAGGGAAAGCAGAGTGATTTTTTTTTTCTAAAAGTACATGTGAAAACGGCCATCTAAACTTTGTATTTTGCTGTAGGTTTTTCCTCACAATTTTGTTTTGCCAAATATATTAATTTTCCATCTAACAATAAGAAATTTATTTCCTTACTGATCCAAATATAAAAGGCACCATTCAAATTGTTATATTAATTTCATCCAATCACCAGGAGGACATTCTTGTAGCAATAAGGAAAAGTAAAAATCAAGCCTAGCAAACCTAACTTTAACCGACATACATATCAGGAAAACACTAGGCAAATGTGAAGAACAAACTTACCTTATATAAATGAAAAACAGGGTGTTTAATTTCTCCAAGGAAAATATGCTTCCCTTTTTGCTCTGAAATGATCTGCATTATTTTTGGTTGCCTGAAAAATCCTCCCTTTTTATAAGCATTCCTTTATCTTGCAATTAGTCTTGAAAGATCTATGTAACACTGCTTTTTTTTTTTTTTTTTCCTCCCCCAAAGAATCTAGGGGACATGATCTTGGAGACAGCAGAAGGCTAATCTGAATTTGGTTAGGGTTATTGTAACTACATGAATTTACCTCTTTTCTCCAATTAATCTTCAGTAGGTCTCCCATTTTCAGGACTCCCTACTCTAATGTCCATATGGGCATGCAAGTCAAAAACACAGAATGAATTTAATCTTCTAAATAAGATTTTTTTTCTTTGTATCAGCACATGTTGTTCTATATGTATTAGACAATTTACTGATCAGAATGCTGTGCAATGTGTAACACACCATTACCACAAAGAATACGGTTTGTAGTAATAGTTGACTTTCAACAAGTTGAAGGGTTACTGTGTCTATGTATTTCACATTATGCCAAAAACGGAAATACTAATATACAAAACTCTTTATATAGCTGAAATATAGTATGATATCCAACCTTTCCTTTTCCATTTTCCTTTAATGTTCGTCAGTACGTAACAGGTCTTTAATACACTTGTAATATTTCCACCAGTGATACCATTACATGAGTGAAGGTATTATCTAAGAGCTCTTACCAATGCAGTGGGGCTCAGTGCACATGGGACTATCATATATTAATTTGCCTCAGCTGTATTTCACATATATAAATAAATGAATCTGTCTATGATTTCTGTAATTTACATTTTTTACGAATAATGCTCTTAATACTACCAAAGCAATATTTCAACACTAAGTCAACATGTAATGTTATAAAAATAGAACCAATAAAAATACATTAAGATATTTCATATATGGCATTGGCTGCAGAGCATTGCAAAATACTTGCTGGAAGGTACTAAATAATCTAAAATACTTTAACTTGTCTAATGTTTCTAGAACTTCTATTATGTACTTTCTCCTCTATCCAATTCAATTCAGCTCCTTCTGTGAATTGTCACCAAAGAAATGCGACAAGTTACTAGGAATTATAGCCTTATTTAATATATACTACACTTCTATTTCCTTTTTGAAAAAATCTGGTTTTATCTTTCTCTTATGGTAGAGTAACAGTCCATATGCTGTTCATATCCACATTATTCTCATACATTCTCAGAACTCCTAAATTGCTAAATTTAAAGAAATTGTTTTACTTCAGCATGTACAGGATTAGGTCCTTATGATGCCATAGAGTTAGAGTTTCCCTCTAATACATCGGTGCAGTGACCACTTCCCTGGGGAGCCTGTTCCAGTGTGCAACCACTCTCTCTGTGAAGAACCCCTTCCTGATGTCCAGCCTAAACTTCCCCTGCCTCAGCTTAACTCCGTTCCCGCGGGTCCTGTCGCTGGTGTTAATGGAGAAAAGGTCTCCTGCTTCTCGACACCCCCTTACGAGGAAGTTGTAGACTGCAATGAGGTCTCCCCTCAGCCTCCTCTTCTCCAGGCTGAACAGGCCCAGTGCCCTCAGCCGTTCCTCGTACGTCTTCCCCTCCAGGCCTTTCACCATCTTCGTAGCCCTCCTCTGGACACTCTCCAACAGTTTCATGTCCTTTTTATACTGTGGTGCCCAGAACTGCACACAGTACTCGAGGTGAGGCCGCACCAGCGCAGAGTAGAGCGGGACAATCACCTCCCTCGACCTACTAGCGATGCCGTGCTTGATGCACCCCAGGACACGGTTGGCCCTCCTGGCTGCCAGGGCACACTGCCGGCTCATATTCAACTTGCTGTCTACCACGACCCCCAGATCCCTCTCTTCTAGGCTGCTCTCCAGCGTCTCATCGCCCAGTCTGTACGTGCAGCCAGGGTTTCCCCGTCCCAGGTGCAGGACCCGGCACTTACTTATATCCCTTTGATATTTACTAGGCCATGTGTTAGAACACCTCATTCTTTTATGCATACAATTCTGTAATATATCTATATTAAGTACTCACTGAATTTATTCTCTTACTTTAGCTAATGGAATTAGTACTTGAGGGCATGCAGATTTTATTTTCCTTACATGCATCTTATGACAATTATAACATTTCAGTTGACATTTGGCTAGTAAAAGCACTCATGCAATACATGCTGAGCTAGTCTTAACACACAATTGCAGTATGCACCAGATCATGACTTAAAATAATTAACCTACAGAAATGAAAATACAAAAATATTTAAACCACTTAAAGCTGCATGGCATGCACCTTATGGCTTATAGACCCTGACACTTCTCAAAAAAACACATCTGTTTTTAAGGATGAGGCGAAGAAAAGGGCCAAACACGATACTTTTGCACGATCTCAGACATTTTAGGGCTGTACTTCTCAAGTCTCAAGTATCTTCTACTCCCCAGGACATTAAGAGAAAAACTGAAAAGGCCACTACAATCCTGGTGAATACATTCAAAAAACCTGAACATTCTTTTTCTCTCTTGCCAGTTTCATCTCTTACTCTTCTAAAATGATCAAAAGTAAGTTTACAGTCACCTACATAATGAAGGTTTTTCTTTTTTCTGTAAGATCCTATTCTAGTTCATCACTAAAAGTTCTTGTTTATTCTGTATGTGAAGCACAAAGGCTCTTTTTTTTTTCCTCTTTTTTTTTTTTTTTTGACAGCATAGTAGGGGGCAGATGACAAAGGTGAAGGTTTCATATAACTTTTGCTATTACATCACATTATACACAAGGAGGCAAGACAGACTCAGGCTTAATGTGCCTAGGTTAATTAACAAGATGGCTCTACAGTTTTTTAAGATCTATTTTGTCCTTCTAAAAAAATACTAATTCCTTCATTTTACATAAACAGTGAGAACAACTTTTCATTCTGGTAGTCTGGTCTGTTTCTGAATGCTTGCAATGAGCACATGCAACTTTTCATGGAAGTAAGCAACCATCACATTTTTACTGATTAGCAGAAGTAATTGACTTGATGAAAAATATAAATATAGAAAATATTCTTATCGCATATTATTTCACCTTGCTGGTGAAGACTGCATAAATTAAAAATATTTAGAGTACATACACTGTTAGTAGAGGTATGATATCCATAAAGTTGAAGACGCTGACATACAGCAAAAACGGGCCAAGCCAAGTATCACGTCAGAATGAAGACAAAAGAAGGAAAAAAAATAAAGACAACAGAATAGGTTAAGATTTATTTTATATAATATTAGATTTAGTTTTATTTTAAGGTGACAGTGAATAGAAAATGGTTTGCTTTATTTTCATTCATTAAATTTGCTTAAGAGAAGTACAAAGTTGAAGAGATTAATGTCAGGAGGAAAGTTCCATTTTGTAATTTTTTTTCAAAAACCTCTTCTTTTGGGTGCAAGTTTCCTTTTTCAGCATAAACAGTGCATGAGAGATTCAACAATCGACCTACAGTTTTCAAAACTAATAAGGACAGTTCTTCTCAGTGTGGGAAGAAAAGATCCCTTTATATGCTCAGATAAGGTTTAAAAAGTATTAATTCTTGGAATTCAGATTTTATACAGTTTCAGGGACAAAATCCTGAGATCCTGAATCAATGGTCTGAAAAGGATACTGGGTACCATGACAAGCTGCATAGATATTTCAAAATGTTTCTTATAATGAAGAATTATTTCCATAAATATGTGCAAATCACAAAAGAACACATTTATTCTGCCATGGGCTTGACAGACACTTGTACCTGATTTTTACTTGTCCACCAGTAAAATAATTCCTGGTAGTGCTGCCATCCTCCAGACAACCCACACTAGTCTATTTCTGACTTACCTTTCTCATGCATGTAATAAACACAAATTTGACATTAAATTAAGTATTTTATGTTCCACAAAAATCTGTTCATATAATATAAACAACTGAAGATGTTTTGCGCTGATCATAAGCAGTATTTAATAAGAAAATAATATAAAATCTGTTTGCTTATCAAATTTCATCAGTTATATTAAAACTGCTATATTAATAACAAGTATCAACATCAGTATGTCTACATTTAACATTTTTTGTAAGTTATAAGAGCAGGAGTATAGTTTGGTTTTGCTACTGAGATGCCTCACTTTTAAGTGACTGAACGGTACTGCCTCATTATTATTCAGTTTCCTTAAAGATTCCAAGTGGAATCAAAGCATGTAATACAATATTTAAATACTATTTTTTCTTTTATATAAACCACTTAAGTATTTTTTCCAATAACTGCAGTAACTGTTTTTCTTTCTATATACTTAAAATTATACGTAGTCTTTTAACGATAAAAAATTATTGTTTCAAAACAAATTGAAAGTCATTAGCGAACGCAATACACATACACACACGACTTTGTACAATTTTGAATTGCATTGAAGAAAATTAATGCTGGACTACCAGCTGCAACTATTCTGATTTTACTTACCAGCATTGCACGTTTTTCTTCATCTCCCTTTCTTTCTCTCTTCTCATTTTTTTTCCTGAAAATCTCTTGTAGCTACAAAACAAATCATTTTGTTCTTATTTTGCTTTTGTGTCATTTCACATGCATAACAGTACGTTATAACAATAACTGTGAGTAACACTGCATGCACTATTAAAACATAGTTCTTCAGTTCCAATTATGTTTTTTGTTTATATTTGTTCTTCAGTAAAATATCAATGTTCCAATGATGTTTTTTTGTTTATATTCATGCCTTCACGAACCTTCTGTCACCTTAAGCATAACACAGAAAGGAAGAAGTTATTTATTTGTTTTCCCACAAAATAAAGCTAATAACTCTGGGAGCACAATACTCAGAACATCCTATTTAGCTTTATGTTTTAGTCAGCCTAGGTCTGTACTGTCTTACAAGTGGGAGTTTCCAGTCTTTTCCAACTCCTCTAAGCACATCCTTTGTTGTCAGGTACTATTTAATACAGTTGTATAGCTACGCAGTCAGCTGGATCAATCTTTTTTCATGTTAGGTAGCTAGATCAGTTCTTATTCCTGCTGGCACAAGCATGGGGTGGAAACACCTGGTGGGGGCGAAACATTCCCTTTAAGCAGCAACAAACTACTACTCAAGAGTAATTTATCAAGTACCTTTGTTTTTTCAAGTATGTTCAAAGAATACTTTTGACTTTTGTAAAACACCTCCTTCCCAAATTTCTTTATGTTAAGAGCTTTAGACATGACTTCTGAGACAACTTCAAACACAGCATTTAAAACATACAGAGATTCTTACACATTTATTTTTAGAAATCGCAATGTCTTCATGTTATGAAATGGTCTGCAATTCTCTTTGCAAGTATCAATATACTTTAAATAATTTTATTATTGCAATACTTACAATATTCTCAAATAATTAGAAAAAGAAAAATGACATTATTTTTCACAGCAGACAGAGCAGTATTATGATGCTATTGTGATGCCATCTACCAGTGAACTTCAGCTTTTCAAAAATCAATCTGAAAATATCATACTGCCCCTTGTAGCATGTGTTAACTCAAACTGGGCCAAAAAAAAAAAATAAACAACACACACTGTAGCTGACAAATTTGTCCTATCCAGTATATGGTATTTTTAGAACCAAACGTCATGGTATACAAACAGTGGTTCCAAAGACTGGATTTTACCTACCAGAAGTCTGGTAAAAACACGATACTGATAATGTGTGTGTGACATAGTTTGCAAGAAAATTTTCCAAATTTAATCAGAATAACATATTTCAGAGAATAAAAGACAATGGGATCAGCAAACTCTGCTGCTGTGGTACTGACAGCAATGAAAAAAATGAATGCAGTGTTAGAGAGCAAACAACCAATGCTTTTGTAAATAACATTTTATGAATTTCCAAAATTAACTACTGTCTTCTGGAACTGTCTATAGAGCAAATACAGACCGGAATATTGTGTGTCACTGTACCTACTTTTAAGTACAGGATTAATTTACAGATCTAGTTCTATCTTTTCAAATATATTTGTAAATTTACAGGCACAAACTACTGTAACCTATGCTGACAAGGAAAGAGTGATGAGAGGACATTTAGCTTGATGGCCTAGAGTATTAAACAGCTTGCAACCCAGAATTGTGGAAAGGAGAAAGGTAAATAAAGAAATAGAAGTAGAAAGAAAATATTTTGTGAAAACTGAAATGACAAGCCATCAAGTAGGAGAGAAGAGTGGCAGTAATTGAAAACACACACACACCTGTCCCCTCCTGCTCCCTCCCCCCCCCAAAAAAAAAAAAAAATCTGGGGGAAAAAAGGTAGTGCATCTTTGGATGTATTTCCCCTTCCACTGAAGCAAAGAGGGTAGGATTCTGTTGCATTCACCATTAAAGCGCTTGCTAAACTTCTGGAAATGGATCTTTTGTTCAGAAAGAGTGCTATAGGATACCAGTGAGTAGAAAAGTGAATGTGAAAGGATCTGGGAGTACCTTCATAGCAACATTGTTTGGAACAGGATAATGAGATTGTTGAAAGGAGCAAAACCAAGATCTCCTGTAACAAGGGAATACAATCCTTCTGTTCTTTGACCTCACCCTTATGATATAACCAGAGGGAAAAGCACAAACACCTGATGAATTAGTTGACAAAACCACCAAAGCTGTTATCAGAAAAACTAAGTATTTTGCAACTCTTCACTACATGTACTCTTTTTCTTTGGGAATTGTAACACGTGATCCCTACACCATTCTCTAGAAAGAGGGTTTTCTGTAAATCTGAAAAGTATTAACTTTGCTTCCAATTAGCTCTCCATAATCAATGAAGAAGTATTTTGCAAATGTTGGATGTAGTTCAAATGTCTACGTTTACAGTTTTCTGCTTCCAACGACAGAGGAGATGATCCACACCCATGCAAAGTGAGTACGGATGTCAAATACATAGTCTGCAGCTGTGTCTATCAGAGAATAATTCTGGTATCACTGAATAAACTTTTACTCTCATATTTACTTTTATTTACACAGATACCATTTATCTACCTTCCTATCTACCTATATTTTAGTTTTTCTTACTTTAGATCTAACATTCTGATGTATGGGTTTTGATCTATTTTTTTTTTTCGAAGGGCCACTGACACTAATCCAGAAGAGTTAGGGTCATCTATACAAATTTGTTCAATATGGTAGGTGGAGAACAGTGTATCTGATGTTTGAAAAGTCTCATTCCTTCTATCCACTAAGTCTGGTAACAGGAAAAGAGTAAAGAGGAATTTTTAATGGCTACCAGTAACCATGACAGAGAAGAAATAAAAAGTAAGTTGTGAAGAGGACTATAAAAGCACACTTAGAAAGAAAGATGTAATATCCATCCCTAAGTGTTGCACTTGTTTCCCTCCTTTATGTATGTATTCAATCCTATTTTTACCATAAGTTTCTGAAAGGCAATGCTTCCTGCTACAATTTTCTCTCCCATCCTAGCTCTTGTAATGCATGACCTTCTTTTATTATTTTAACAGTCTATTCCACTAGCTGGTCTGGAGAATCATGAAAGACAACCTTCCCGTCTCCCAGCATATTGCTTCAATGTTTGGAGTTTTTTTGTTTTTTTTTTTTTTTTCCTGGAAGAGATGACTATTGGAATCAGCAAATAGAAGGAAACGTACATTTAATATTATAATAGAAAAAATGTTTAGCATGTCAAAATATGCATGTGGCAGCAGCTTCCCAAACAAAAGAAACCTGTTCTGATGGAGCTAGGCCAACAGAAAACGTCCTCTTCATTTCTCACTCTGTGCATCACCTCCTTGAAAAAGGGAATTGAAGGAAGTGCAGTGTGTTAAGGACAGTTTCCTTCAAGTTTCAATTTTCTTTAGGTCAGCATAGGTTATTTGAATTGAGCCTTATAGCTTGAGTTGGAAATAATTCAGAAACAGAACATGGGAAGTATGCCTTTCCTTTTCATTGTGTTTTTAAATATATAATTCTACTGATCACTGACATAGCAATATTACTTCAACAGTCTAATTATAAAGATCCAGAATAGAAACTGGAAGCTTCAAAAACCATTATACACAACATATACATGTACTGTAATAAAAAGCTACTATTTACATTACATTTACTGTTTACATTAAATAAGGCAAATAAACCACTCCAGTCAGTGGAGAATGCCTCACGTTCTCATGATCGCTGACATCATCTTAAGTCTCAATCTAGACAAAAAGCGAATTTCAAGATTACATAAAAACATTGAAAGATTGAAAATATACATACCACTAAGAATTCCTTTTTGTCCACCATCTCATTGCCATCAGTATCAAACATGTTGAAAGCAATTCTAAAACCCGCATGTGGCTCTGCCAAAAAATTACAACAATCATGTCTTCATTTGCTCAGAAAAAAAAACAAACACAAAATTCTAAGAAATTATTTGGTGTCTTTTATAAAAGCCATATCCTCAGCTAATCCTCAGCTCATTTGAATTAGCATATTTGTGAACATAGTAAATGCAAATCATAACATCAATATAATAGTATTGTCCATATTATGAAAACATAAGGTATGCTCACACGCTCACAAATGATTAAGGAAACATACAGTAGAAATAAATCACAAAATACTCAAGAAAAATGCATTTCAGTAGAGGTTGCTTCAGCGGTTAAAATAGTGTTAGTTCATAATTAGAGTCCATTTTATTTAATAAAATTGTAGAAAATAAGTTTATGAAAAAAGTATTCTCAAGACACTTTAAAAAGCTTTGCAAAAAAAAAAAAAAAGTACAGGATGCAACTCCTGGTCAAAATGAATTACATATAGAAAGAGGAAAAGTTTTCTTGTTTACATGCTTACAGTCATTGAAATTTGAGATCAGGTTAGAATTTTACATCAGTTCAGAAACATGTTGAGTTTGAAGGCAACTGTAAGTGAAGTCTTTGGGCAACATTATGGTGATAATTCACTGCCTTGCAATATGAGTTATGGCCAGAGGTTAGTCCAGATAAAGAGATGATGGAAGGATATCCACTGATGCAGCATTTAAGGATAGTACAGGTTTGGGGTGAAGTTCCCACTCTGTCTGTTTCACAGGAAGTATCCAAATAATATCTGAATAAAAATCTAATGAATCCAATAGAAATGCTTTAATTGTATACAAAGGAAAGACAAAACACTTTGATCCTTCCCAAAAAGCAGCTCTTAAAATAGCAGTTGGCATCAGGCTTAGTTTACTCGAGCTCTAAGTTCTTCTACTTTGTTTTCACAGGTGGTAGAAGAATAAGTATTCGATTTTGTTAGTGTTTTCTTATATAAATAAACATTTGCTTCAGTTTGACAGATTTTCTAAAATGAAACATGTTACTGATATCACTATCCCACTGATGTTATCTTTTATGCACTAAGAAGGAAAACAAAACAGTAACAATGTACATAATAAATATTCTTCTCCCTATATTCAATGTCCTTTATGACCAGTGAATTCAATACATTCAGTAAATTCAACTAGAAATTGTATAGGAATTTCAAAGAACAAAGCAAATTTAAGATCTTTACTGGGTTTTAGCTGAAGTGCCTCAGCGTTTTCAACACCCAGTGAAAGATGTTTCTAGAGAATAAATCACTTAAAGCATAACACAAGATTCTGTAGGACAAGGCAGGTTCAAATGGATATAAAGATGCCTGATACATTTTTTGGGATATGCAGGAGAGGACAAAAAAATCCCAATATATAGCAATATATTTGAAACTTAAGAGTTTGTAAAGAAGGATTTTTTCTTTTCCCAAAATACTTACTTGTTAAAATACATAAGAGAAATAAATATTCTGTGTAAGATATCACACCTGAAAACAACAGAAAAAATGATGCCATATTAATTTTACTTTGGATCCAAATCTTAAACTCAAAAACATTAAATCTATGCATAAGGAGGAACATTTTCATACATATGCCTATTCATATTTGTTTGCATGTGACTGTGTTCAGGCTAGTCATTGATTCATTTGACTAAAATATGGATCTATGGTGTTTTTTGTTTTGTTTTTTGCTGTTGACTATTTTAGGAGATAGATAATGCAAATAAATAAATAAATAATGCAAATAAAATAAACAGTAGAGAATAGCTCATTAAACATAAGCTGGTTAGATTTTTAGAAGCTATTTAGCTCTCTGAAAATCTCACCAATAATACCTGACAACAGTCTTTAACAGCAGGAGAATGTTTACTCTGAGAACTTTAATAGCGCTTCCTCCTGATAGATAACGTTTGAAAATAGTTCTTGACTTTAATATATGCTAAGTGCATGCCACATGCTAATTGAAAACTTGGCCTTGTATTACTTAGAAAAGCACAGTTTGGGCTTTCAAATTGTCTTTATATGCACACTTTCATAATAATCATCTGAATTTTATATTAAAACTCTTATTAAATGAATGTGTAGCTTTTTGTTAAATATTTTTGAAGCCTATTAAGGGAACCTGTACTGTCATCTTCTACATTCAAAAGACCTGTAAGGAATACATTTCAAGCTTTTAATCTTTTGTCAGATGTCAAAAGGTAATCACAGCATGATATGGCATTACCTTTCCTCTTCAGAAATAAAGAAGGCAAAATTTAAGTTAGAGCTGAAGTCAATATCCAAATGGTATGTTTGATAAGCTGTACTTCCATTTCTCTATTTCTGGGGTAAAAAGATAACCTTACAGAATGCATACAGCGCAAATGAAGAAGATCATCCCTCAATGCACTAAGAACTGGCAACAGTAACCTGCAATTCTACCAAAAGCCTTTAGCTCTAGCCGTCTTCAAGGTTGAGCTACCAAAACTGGTTCCTGATTTCTAACCAATTGATTCTGTCTGTTTTATAAAACCCAAAATCTTAAGCCAGTCCACAATATTAGAATATTTCAAAAGCTTAACAAACAACAAAAATGTATTTAGATGCCTGATAGCAGAGATGTCTAACTGCTGTGATTTTCAAAAGTTACTGTCTGTCTCCTTTATTTCAGTCTAAGTGAAGTTCGTTAGCGCTTTTAAAAAAAAACAGTCACACCTTTGGACATTTAAATATCTTCTAAAGTCTAACTCAATTGAATATATGATGAACTATGTAAACGGTCATGTGATTTTTTTCGCCAAAACACCTATGTAATTCAAACTTAAACACTATATTATCCACACAGATTTCACAATTATTGAACAGATTTAACATCAGCACTTCCAGTGCTGCCAAACTAAGAAACTTCAGCATTTTTTATTAATACTTATAGCACAAAAAGTTCCGTATTAGTTCTGTCCTGAAATAATATTCATGAAGACTGTCATTTTTCCAGCTTTGCAGTGAAGATTCCCTGCTTTTAAGAACAGCTGTAAAAATCAACTTAGATACTTCTTCAGCTGCATTCTCCAGTAACACAAAGATGTGAATCAACGTGTGGCTTGAATTTATACAGTATCTTGCAGAAATTCTTTTACAAATGCCTACTTGAGTCTGTTTGGACAAGCAGCTATCAAGAAATCAGATACCTCAAAGGTTCTCATTCAGTAATGTAAAACATTCTCTAATAGCCTGTCAATAAATGTAAAAAATGAATTTTTGTTTGTTTGATGACACCTTCTTTGTTGTAGAACGGAGGAAGGAAGTGCAATTGTCAAACAGTCCACCACAGGTATGAAGACAGCAATATAAAAGGCCTTGAAAGCATTCTCTCCTTTTGTTTGTGCTGGTATATCGTAGCTGTAGACAGATAGTTCTGGTTGATTGCTCTGAGCGTTATGGGAGAGAGGCTCTGTAATTTCAATTGAACTGAAAGAAAAGCTTATTCCAAGATCAGAAAGAAGAGGTGGAGGTCACTTGAGGGTAAAACACAAAAAACTAAGACCTGAAGATGGCTGGTGTAAATCTGTGTAGTTTAAATTAATCTATGGCAAAATATATTGACATAGGCCTTTGGTACTTGCTTCATACTAAAATGTGCATGTTTTAAAGAATATGAGTAAAATAATCTTGAAGTGTTCATATCATATAAATGAGAATGACTTGAATTCTATTCCCATTCCCATCATCTATTCTTATATTATCTATAAAATGGGATAGAAGAACTCACTTGTTTTGTAAAGTGTGCCGAAAAGCTATGTAAGTGCTAAAGTTTATTACCAATGTTACCAGTTTATTACACCAGTTTTGAATCCTCTTACTTCTATCAAATTCTGTAGAATTTCACTAACAGAAGACTGGAGTAAAATATTGTTGAATCAAGACTGTCTGTTTTGGAGACATCTTATTACAGACTTAGTAAGCAATATCTAGATACATTTTTTTTTTAAACTGATAGTGTACTGATTTAACAGATTATGAAGGTGAATAGTCAGCTGTTCTGACTATATAACTGTCAGCCTAGAACAAGGAAATACAATGCAAAAATGTGCCAGTTTCTGCTTCTCCCTGGAGTACTGACTGCAGGTTCAGGGCAAAAAAATCTAAGTGCAGTTTACAATTCAAGATTCAAGAGATTCAAATCTCTAGAACACACTAGAGATTTAAGCTTGTGACACTCCTCTAAAAATAGTGGCTTACTTACTCGTTTAATAAATTTAAGCTGTAGTTAAATTAGACTCATCAAATAAGTGCACATATTTGTTTTGAGTTTTGTTGTTAGCATGATTATTTAAAGATCCAGGAAGTGTCTTTATTTTATAGCAATTGCTTGTGGCTGCTTTTTTTTAGAAATATTTTAAAGTTTCATCAGTCCTTTACTATTCTGAAAATAAGCAAAAGAATATGGGGGTTATTTACCATAAGTAGCTTTTGCATTTTGGTACATGAGTTAACAGTTTCTTTTTTTTTTTTTTTCTTTTTTTTTTTCCCCCCCCAAGTGATACAGAATATTAAAGAGGAAAAAAAAAAGGTAGGGGGAGACCTGGACCATGGCGATTGCTTTACTAATAAAGTTCTAAAGGCTCAAAAATAGCTTGGTCGGCTCGTTTTAAAGGGGTAGACAGCATTTCTCAAACTCTTTCTGTTGTGAAGAAAACATTTATCCAATTATATCAGGGACCATCACTGTCTTCAGAGATGTCTTAAAGACATTTTGCATATTTTTTTTAGAACATTCCATATAAGTTCTATTGTCCAAACTGACAACAGTTCTCCAGATGATTGGAAGAAACTGAATGTGAAACAGTCAAACATCAGATTATATACTAAAATTACCAGTTAATATACTAAATATATATATTTTTATATATATATATATATAAATATACTAAATTACCTTTACTTCACTTAAGAATATTAGCTGGAAGATGTCAGAATTAAAACACTGTAGAGACTAAAGGGAACTTCTATATTCTTTAAACTGTAGAAAGCAACAATTTTTATTTATTTTTTTTTAAACTTGATTACATTTTCTGAAAGATTTAAGTACAACATTACTTCAGTCACAATAAATTAATACATATGACTATTTGGTTCAGGAAAATGAATTCTTATCCCTTACCTTTCTCATTAAGATTACGGAAAAGTTTGGATGATCCTTTCCAAACTGGTGGTGTCTCCATAAGGATCTGATTCAATTCCTAAAAAATAAGATTTGAAAAATACTGAAGAATATAATTAGATATTTAAATGAAGATGTTCTCTGATTATGAGTAAATGCTAGGAAATCAACATAAAAGACAAGAAAGGAACTCCATGAAAATCTACCACTTACTTTAACTTCAGTTTATCACAATGACTTTGTAATTACTCAAACACATAAATTTTGAATACACGATTAATACAAGAATTGCTCATCCAAGAAAAAATCTGCATGAATACTAAGTGTTTGCAGAATTGGAGAGAGACATATAACATACATATTGTTGCTGAAATTACTCACTGTTGCACATGTTCACTGAAGTCAAAGATGAATCCCCCCTGGATTTCAGTGAGGTTTTGATACAAGCTCTAGGCAATTGTTCTTTTAAAATACTCAACCTAAACTAAAGCAAACTTCACCCATGAATACGAATGTACTTTATTCTCAATACACAGACACTGAAACAGCCTTCTTGCAGTTGTACAAATATAAAAAACTAAAATGTGAGAGGCACTTCAGCAAAAGCTAGAGTGGCATGAGTATTTCAGGCAGCTGTTACACTTCAACACTAAAACTTAGATATGGGCTGAGGAAGGAACTGACAGAGGTTTGAGAAAGTCACTAAACCAAACGTAACAGGCACAGCTGCTCAAGTATGTTTGAGATTCTGGATTCAAACAGTCTGAAGTGACAAAAAAGAAGAAATTAAAATTTGTGCATTTTTTTTTATAAGGATGAAAAACCTTTCTTCTGCAACACCAAGTTTACATCATGAAAAAAGACAGTTGTAGCAAAAGGTATGGTTATAGGAATTATTCCAGTGTAGGAACTACTACCCACCTGCTTTGAAAGGGATCGCCACTTTTTAGCACCTGCAACAAAAGACAAAGTTATGAATATACCAAATTTAGTTATGTCAATATGGTGTCATTAAAATTATACTACATCCACAATCCCTATTTTCTAGCCAAACAAGAAATATTTTCCCTACTTTATTAATGAGATAAATAATAAATAATTGAGCTCAGCCTGGCTCAAAAAAAAATCTCTTTATCTTATTAATAGAAAAAAATAGTTTAATACATACTTAGACTCCTAACTTTCAAGAATCAACTCAGACTTACAATTTTCAATCAAACTCCACTTTAGCATCCTATCTCCTAAACACATCATTAAAGCTTTAAACTGGAAATAGTGAGCATTTGTGTAACAAATATGTTATTTGTGTTATTTGTGTTATTATTTGTGTTATCTTGTGGTATCAGTGAATAGTCTGAACCATTATTTAGCAGCGGTAGTATTACAATTCTGACCATAAAGGAAACCTAGATTCTGGCCCCTGCTTCACTTCACTAGCCATATATTTTAAAACAAATACATAGAAAAAAAAAGTCCTTGAAACAACATCAGAAGCTAGGACTCCTTACAGCCATTCCTAAGATCTTCTTCACTTAGGAAGAACTTCTTTACTGAAAGGCTTGATAGGCATTGGAATGGGCTGCCCAGGGAAGTGGTTGAGTCACCATCCCTGGAGGTCTTTAAAAGACGTTTAGATGTAGAGCTCAGTGATATGGTTTAGTGGAGGACTTGTTAGCGTTAGGTCAGAGGTTGGACCAGGTGATCTTGGAGGTCTCTTCCAACCTAGGTGATTCTGTGATCAGATTCATGCTCCCTTTTAGAGCCTCTGTTGAGCTAATTTTTTGTAAGTAATTTTAACAAAGCTGAAGAGTTCAGAACTGAAATTGCTCATTAAACCTGAAAACTCATAATGAGTAAGACCGAACAGATGCTTTCTTCCTGAAGCCTTAAAGTGAAAGAATCCAGAAGCGGATGATACTGGCATTTGACAACAGTTGTCTACAACCACCTAAGAATTCAGAACTTGATGTTCATCACCACCCTCTCAAGACAAACCTTTGCACACATTCAGTATTAAGATAAAGCACTGCAAATATCAGAATTTACAAAGGTACAAGAAATTGATTATGTGGTCAAATACTTATCTTCTTGGTTAGTAAAGACTAATTTTTATAAAGCAAAACACCCTCTGGTACTAGAAAACCCTTTCTCATGGTGGTGTCCACGCTTCATTAAATAACAACCAGGACACAAAAGCTACTATGGTCTCTTACTGGTTCATAGTGTGACACTGACTGAAATTTTAGTTCTACACCTCAGCAAAAGCACTGAGTGTCTGCAAAGCCCACTGCAAACATGGTGGGGTTGTATCATGCAACATCATAACATGATCCAATTTTTTCATATACTTTTCAGCTTAATTATTTAATGTCAATTAAAGCTTTGTCTCAAAATACTAAAACAAAACAACCACCTTTACCACATAAATTGCTGTATGTTTATGCCTACCACAAAAAATGGGGAATAATTACATCTAGCTTTCCAGCCAGATAATTTCTCATGTTATATATAGATTTATCCTTCTAGACAAGTAAAGTTTTCTGTCTATATACGTACTTCTTACAGCTCAGTATTAAGCTGAAGTTTTTATAGTTATCAAGAGCTTTTTAGCAAAACAAAGTATTTCCTCTTCTTTTCATTGACTTTCTGAACATATAAACACATATGCAGATGGTAAAAATGTATCAAGCATGACTATTAAGATATATTTTCCCAAATGAAAGCCTTCACCTTAAAGGCAGCAGTAGAAAGTTAATTATACCATTTATTTCATATTTGACTCCAGCTGCCTGGAGTCAAAAGTTACATTTTATAAAAGAAAAATATACTCTTACCATATTAGTTAGTGTTTAATCAAAAAAAGGAAGTGAACACCCTCTTGACTTTTGTAGGGTTTACAAGATTTCCAAAGTAAATCAATCACAATAGAAGCATTCACTCCATCAAAAAATCTCATTCAGGTCTAGTATCAGTAGCTTTTCCATAAAGCAGACACAAAGAGCTACTATTATTACTCTTCAAAGGGCGGTTTTGCTTTCTAACAATATTCAAGACCTTTCTAGTCTTCATCCATAAAAAAAAAATTAAGCATATGTTCTTTTATGCAAGATATAGACACTGTGGTATGTTGGCCTGCACGGACCCTGCTATTTATAGTTTCAAACAAAACTAAAATGATCCAAAATTACAAAATATTTCTAGCAGGTATTATTATATTATTCAGAAAAATACTTTATTTACTTCCTTTAGGAGAGCATAAGGAGACAGATAATTAAGATGTGCAAACTGACAAAGCAGTATAAAGTTTAAAACTAAACATTCAGAGATCAGAGGCTGGAAATGGTAGTAAGTACATATCATTTACTTCATTTATTACTTCCTATTTGTCAGCCTTCTGTCCAAGAAGTCAGCCTTGTTCTGCCTAAATATCCTAGATGACTTCCACCATAATGAAGTCATCCACTTCTACTTAGTTGCAGCCTCCTACACCATCCCTTAAAATAATTATCTTAGTCATGTAATCTATAAAACTAGTGTATAAAACTTAAAAGCATGCAGGTTAGTTTTGCCTTTAGTCTCTGAGATCAGCTGGATACATCAGAAGGATTTTGACACAAGCAAGATTTGTTTACACTCAACTCAGAAGGGTTCTTCATTGTTTGAGTTCCTGATCTCTTCTCTTTTGACATGAGAAGAACAGAATATCCTTGTAAGCTTAACACTTTTATTTTTTAAACATCTGAATACTTGCAGTGAGGGAGGAAGAAACCTAAATTTAAGTAACATGGAAAAGTCTTACAGGTGTACCACATATGTAGTGTAGACAGACTAGTCAAAACATTGTAAAATGAATTTAAAACAAAGTGTACTATTTAACTGATGCCCCGCAAATGACACAAATACTCCATAGACATACATGGCTATGCTATGGGATGCACTGCCCATGGAAAAGCTATCGAAACCCACTCCCCGAGTGACAAAAAAAAAAAAAAAAGGATGACCTGGAGATCTGGGTAAAGTAGGTAGATCCAATGTGCTGATGTGTAATTATATTTTATTTTATTTTTTTTTTGTGATAAGGAATCTGTTTTCTCTGTTTCAAATGGAGAGCAAAAAAGGGAATGAAGATTTGCTTCCTGCTAAGTGCTTCAAAGTTTTGCAAGTTTTCACTACTTCTGTCTTCACTGTTATGAGATTACAGTTTTGATCATGGACGTGCCATGGCTGGACTCCTTCCTCTTGGTTTCATTACAGTTAACATAACAATGGGGAAAAATCTGCAGAGAGCTTTAAGCAGTCCTCGACTGTTTCACCTGCTTTTGACTGCTCTCTGTGTTAGCTCTGTGGTATAGATCTTTCTTCCTGAAGTCTATGGTAAGGTATTATACATGTTACATCTGAGCAGAGATACTCTCATTTCTCAGTTGTGTGCTGCTACCAATGCTGCTCTGCAAACGTGAGGGCCAGGAAGTCATATTGGAGCAGCAATGGATTGTAACATCCACTTACTGTTTGGTCACTCTTTGATAATTAAAGCAAAAAAAAAAAAAATAGAAAAAGTGAAATGAAGTTGTTACTTTATTTTTCATCAATTTAATTAACATGCAGTGCTAGGAAGTGTAGAAAGTAGATTCCCTGAAGGACTGAAATTCCTGCTCAAAGTATGTTATTTAGAAAACCATGACATGCTTATAGAATCTCTGTAGAGCAAAACCAACCAAACAACAAAAATCAACCCCTCTCCCCAACAAAAATGATACCAGATGACAACTTAAGATCACAGAGATTGCAAACCAATGCTATCCTAAATTATTTAGAATACTGGATTCTTGCCTGCCTATTTACACAGAAAGTACACAGAGAAGGAGGTAAGAGTCTTCCAGCAGTACTGGTCTGCTTGGAAAGAAACCAGAACTGTAACTGTGTCAATGCAAAAGGTAAACATGAATTTATCTTTCATGCCCATTAAGCTGTGTATGACCTGTAGGGTAAGAATGGTTATCTAATGTTTTCTGCAGGAATAAAAAAAAATGTATACAGATGGTTACAATCTAGTAGAAATCAGGATGCTGTCTGCATGCATTTGGATACCATTAAAAATAAAATTCTGGAAGGTTCAGCATTGTTTCACCACAATCAGAAACAAAAGTAGTAACCAAAACTAAAAGGAAAAATAACATAAACCACCATCATTTCTCAAGTAATTTTATCAGTATAAAAATCCCGCTTACGTTTGGGTTCATCGTTTGTGACAGCCTGAATGAAGTCATAGGGAGTCATATACAGCTGTCCTTCAAATTCTAAACTGGCAAACCTACGGAACCGTTGCTCCCGAGGTGTCGCATAAAGGTGTAAATCTTCAAGGTCTGATCTGCTTTCTGTACCCTTCAAAGACAAAAGGAAATAATTTTAACGTACAAAAAGTAATGTTTTACAATTGCCACTGCCATTCGCTAAAAAGAAACTGTAAATGTAAAAGTGATAATTCATAAAGTCAAATCCAACCAAATATTTTTGTACAGTTAGAGTTGAAATTAAGATTTTTACTGCTATCATTTTCAGTCTTCTACAATTTTAGCAATAAATCTTCATGCAGTGAAACTGCTGACACTACTCAAGCTTGGGGTGGGGGAGAGAGGACATAGGTTCATGCATCAGAGAAAGGAGGGCAATTTTAAATAAAGAAGTCAGTGTAACTTGAGCAGTCAGACTTTAAACGATTGTGTTAAAATTATTTCAGTTTTCTGACATTTCCAGAAGAAAATTGAATACTTCTTTTTTTTTAATTGCTTCTTCATGTAGAATGCAGCTGTTGACAGTAATAGGCAAAACACCTCCATAACACCATTTACGAAAAGTAAATGTGTAAACCTTCTAAAATGTGTAAGACTTCTATGATTATTGCTATTTCAAGTATCTACTGCAATCAAAGCTACCATACTCAGGGAACAGAATAAGAGCAGAATTATTTCTCCAGAGCTACAGAAATATTATATGGCATGGAGTTCATACAACCCATGAGAGGTTTATAGATATTGGCCAATTCTGTTATGTTCATCATCCCACTTTTTTTAAACTTAGTAGTACAAAGCTGTAAATATTCTAAATTGTTATATCTTTATTTTTTACTGTCAAAGCTTCAAACAGAAAATATACTACTACTAACTGAAAACTTTTTTTAATCTCAAAGCCAGGCAAACTCCTCCATGGAATCAATAGCTTGAAGAAACTGCATCTTTCTTGAACATGTTTTCAGAGATGAAAAAGATAAAATCCAAACTGCTTCATAAAAGGAAAAGAAAGGATACACCTAAATCCATTTCACATATATAAGTCTTAGTACTTGGATATTTCACCTTGGACATTTTAACCTGCCTTCTAGAAGGACAAAAAGACCACTGAGTACACAGTTCTCTTTCTGGACTGTCTCTAGTCCCTCTGAAATTATTGCATCTATGGGGGGAGAAGGAAAAGGGAATCAAATTTAGTTTCAATGGCAAAAAACTGTCACAGAAATTAATTGTAATAGAAATGCTTCTACATTCATTTAATTTTTAGTAGACTGCTCTACATACAAGTATTCTATACTTCTGATTGAGAATCAGTCTTCCACGTTTTATCTTTTTCAAATGATTACTCAGTTAAATGTGACCAATAAAAAAGTATTCTGACAACTAGACCTACAAACTCTCTTTAGAATGACACACTCATATAATCACAGGATTGGTTTGGAAGGGACCTTAAAGCCCATCCAGTTCCACCCCCCTGCCATGGGCAGGGACACCTCCCACCACACCAGGCTGCCCAAAGCCCCATCCAGCCTGGCCTTGAGCACTTCCAGGGATGGGGTATCCACAGCTTCTCCGGGCAACCTGTGCCAGTGCCTCACCACCCTCTGGGTAAAGAATTTCTTTCTTTTATCTAATCCAAATCTCTTTTAGTTTAAAGCTGTTATCCCTTGCCCTATCACTACACCCCCTGAAAAGGAGTCCCTTCCCAGCTTTCTTGTAGGGCCCCTTTAGGTACTGGAAAGCCTCTAAGGTCTCCCTGGAGGAGTGGAAAAAAAAAAAAGAATTCTCTTCTGACAAATCCATATTCAAGCCAAAATATATATGTGCTATTGCTGTTTGAATATAGTCTTAGTGATCCTTCTACAGTCCAGTGGCATTCAAGCTATGCCTTCATGTGGGATTTACACCACACAATTGTTTTGGTAGAGCTTGTAGTGACATAACTGATTGCCTTTGTATTTGAAGTTTAATAATCTATCTTTTTTTTGATACATCTGTTATTTTATCACTATTACAAACACGCTTTTGAATAAACACAGGTTGTAAGCATGAGTAATATAGCAGTACCTCTGCAAAGTCAACTTTCAGGAAAGAAACTGCTTCAAGGCCATGTTACACGCGCAGTATGTGTAATCAATTGTAATCAATCATAATCAATCATGCATAATCAGAAGAATCTGTAGGTAATACAACATTCAAGAAATACCATCGCACCTTGACTGTTCAGATTTGGAGAGCATATTGAGTTTCTTTGTTCTCAGGAAACTCACACCATCTCAGGTACTGCTGCTTAGTATTTCCCTCAAGACACTTAAAAAAACATTTGCAAAATTCTCAGGCATATCTTAGCATTACCTTAAGTACCCTACACTAATATAAAACAACATACTGCAAACATGGAATTTTTAAGACTCGCTTAGACTTAATTCATGCCAGTATTCTGGTCTCCAAAATCTTAGTTTCCGCTTCACTTTCACCAATCTACATTTTCCCTCTGGCTAAATAGCAATGCTAGTATTTTACACTCTGGCTAAAAGTCATTGTAATCCAATAGAAATACTGCTGGCCACCATTGAGAGCCATACCTCTCAATACCCTGCATACGCTTGGTCTGGCACTTAAATGCTCTATTTGCTAAGTGTCAAACTGGATAAGGGCACTGATCTGAATTTTTTTTGTTTTCATGGTGTTATTTCTTAGCCAGGCAAAATCCTGGATCTATTCCCGAAGCACAGTATTTGTTCCAAAACCTAGGCTAGAGGAATCTGTAGCTTATGGAAAAGACAGTTTCACCTCTTCCTGCAGAAACCTGCACCTACTTCAGGTTAGCATGGTGGGGAAATCACAGGTTTAAGCATAATTTTAGTCTAAGGAATATAAATACCACTTTATTATGAACTTTGTGGTTTCACCTGAAAGAATCAGAACAAGCTGTTTATGCTATTGATTTAACATGAACTCAAACAAAGCCCTGTATACAGAGTTTAACTTACTGTGTCAGATCACGGGACTCACCTATCAAGTGTCCAAGTGTCTAGGCAGGGTTTGGCTGCAGAAGTCTCTAGGCACAAGCATTAGTAAATTGCCAAGTAAAACCATCTATGGGAATAATATTTTTTTTTCCTGATTTCCTGTTGAAAGCTTTCCTTCTTCTATTACTGCTTATTAATTCATGAAACTTACTTGCATAGAATCTGTTATTGTTAGGAACTACTTAATATGTTAATTAAAAAGTCAAGACATCCTAAAATGTTACCTCAACCCATACCTTTACAGGCATTCATTTAAAGAATTCTCAACCTGTAATCACAATGCCTCCTCGATATATTCTCCCCAACTTTAGCAGATTATAATCCAGTGGGGCAAGTATGAGAATTTTCGTGAAACCATGATTTGTTCTCAATTGATTTATTTATTATTTTCACCCCGGTTAGGCAATCTTGTTGTAACAGCACTAGTATCAAATCCTGTGGACACAGGAACGAGACACAGAGAGTAGATATTGAATACCTCAGGAAAGGTACTGTTAGTGAGGGAGTGAACAGCATTCGGTAAGATCCCAATTTCTATTTGAAGTTTCATGAGCTTATCCAGACTAAATCTCTCTGTAATTACGAACAATCTTCAAAAAAAAACCTTTCATGAAAGTACATCTCTTTGACAAACGAAAGAGGGGAGATTTTTTTTTATGCTTCTGTTTACTAATCCTCTGGGCAATCCTACCTACAAACTACAATGATCTTGCATCGTGTTATGGTTCTTTTGAAAACTGGACATGGTAATTCCCTTTGAGCAGAATGTCACGAACCTCCTGGTAGCAGTATTATCTTAATTTTAAGCGTAGCAGGTAAGTTCCTGTTTATCTGTACATGTATACCAATCTACTTCACTGAACTCGCTGGAAAAAAGGTGGCTGACACCAAGAAGCCATAATTCCCATCCTTCCATCTCACAACTGATCAAGTAGATGCAAAGGGGGGAGACTGAGGCTCAGCAGCTCTCACAAACCATGTCTTATCTTCTCCCTGTTCCCACAGGAGCCTAAGCACTAAGAGCTGTAAACAGTTTGTGCCTCTCATCATTTTGCCCTTCCCCTTTCTAACTTCAGTGCATCTTTGTTAAGGTCGCTCAGCACTTTTAAGTCAATCAGCTCTGAATACATTTCATGCAGCGACTCTTTTAGAGTGATACCACCCCTGTATTTTCTCCCTTAAATCACAGCAAAAACTTAACTGAAGGCAATCTAGGCTTTCTATCAAGCAAAATTACTGTCCCAAATTCACTCCCATTTTGTATTCATAGCTCACATACTGTGTCTGCCAGAACAGCCAAGCCAAACAGCCTCAGAAGTCCAGTGCTCTCACCAAAGATTTCCATGTATTACTCCAACTGCCTTAAGGCATGTTTCATTACCATTTCTAGTCCCATATATTTTGTCTTACTGGCTCTCTTACCTCACTGATGTGATGTCTGAATTTGGTATAATGTGAATTAACCTGGATGGTTATAGTGAAATCCATGCAGTAACTCTACACTGCCATAAAATGGCCTGACGCAGGACACAAACTCACACAGTGACATCAAGGTAATTAAAACATTACAATAGTTCTGACCTCAAATTATGTGAAAATATCAATAAATGGTAATGATCAGGGTAAGTGGAAGTAAGGTGCAGAGGATAAAGCATGAAGTCATTACCCTTCCTCTTATAAAACAGAGAAGAAATGTCCTTTGCCAAGTGTTAGTCACAGAACATTAAGTCAGTAATTATGAAGTTTTATTCTGTGGCCAAAGATCTATTTTTTCCCATAGAGACAAGCTTAAATGCCAGAGACAGGATTTTTATTTGAAAATTAGAAAACTTGGTGCCTACAAGAAGACGTAATCCAAAAGAATCTATTATCAAAACCCGTAGCAACGCTTCAATTTTCAGATCCTAAGAATATCTAAGCTAATGCAAAATATTTTACAAAACATGAAAAAACATACCCGCTGTGTGTACATGTATATGAAGTGAATGGCTCCAACAGTACCATAAAAGACACACGTTTGTTGTGTTCCAAGTCAAATCAGTGTTCTTTTGCTTTTCCCAACTGACATAAAGGTGATACTATTTTAACTAAAGAAGCCAACATTTGCTACTAAAAGCACCTTTCGCTTGCAGTCACAAATATGTTATGTTACAGTAGTTTAATCTTTAATTTATTTCAAGTGAGTGAGTTTCTTTGAATTTTTGCTTGCAAAGTAATCTGTCTTCCATCAATGAGAATCTGTGCAAATTATTAAAATAAAAAGGTTTTCAAAGCAATGCTGCTCCTTACTTCCTTCACTTATATTTGACTTCAGGCTTATTTAATATGCTCCCATGTAGATAAAAGTAGCACAATTTTGTTTTCTTGCTGGGTGGCCAAAAGGTTAAACGTCAAGTTCCCAGTGTGGGGAAAACCCCAAAGTAGACAAAATTGTTTTGATGCTTAGTGAAGTTATATTTCTAGCAGCTACTTAGATGTAGCACAGCCAACAATTCTGTTAGTTGATCCCTTTTCTCTGAGATAAGGACATTATTATATTAAAATATTTACAAGCATAGGAAGCTGGAATGTGTTTAAAATGCTGTAAAAAGGGCCCTGTTCAAATATAATTCTGTTACAGGAAATTCTTGGGGTAACAATGTTTATCTATAAGCACAGCTATTTCAGAAATCCTCCAAAATAAATATTACACTGACATATTCTCCAACAGTCCGTCTTACATAAGTTTGACAGGCAGATTACTTGAACTCTAGCAGTTCTTCCAGAAGATTCAGTCTGCATGTACACCCTGCCATACACGTCCATATGCTTCGCCGCGTGCGAGACTGAAACATGCTGGATCCGTCTATCCCAAGCATGTGTCATCCCTTTTTAACATCCTGAGAAACACAGAAGTAATGCTGAGAGGAAAAATGTTCCTTTTCCTTCAACAAGGCTCTGTTACAGCTGGCAGGCAAGCGCTATCCCTCACAGGGTGATTACACGGTGAAAAGCATCAGATGTTATCAGCCAACGAGCAAACCACTTTCCTACATTTGGCAATTGACCCGCATGAAATGCACAAGGCATATGGAAAAAGGTTAACTACAAGTGATCCTTGTGAAGAGATGCATAAAGGATCGTTTTCAAGCAGCATCCTCTCTGAGCAGGCAGAAGAGCCTACTCTCTAGGGGCATTTGCCTTACTTTTTGGAGTTAAACTCTTCTTCATTTCATGGAGTTGGAAATATATGATGTAATCCACTCAGAAATGTGCTGCTACAAATAAACTTGACCTTTTGAGTATTTTCACAAGGAGAAAGAGAGAGTTTCATGGTACTGCTGAGGTAGAAGGAAAAAACCCGCTAGAAACATCCCAAGCATGCAGCTTCCTTTTCCTGGAATCATGATAAGTAAATGCTCTGTGTCTGTCTCCCCTCAACTTCTCTTTTAATTCCCAAGTCACCTCTGAAGGAAGTGATTCTCAGCAGCTCTTCATAAAAACATCTGAACATAAGGACCTGGAGTTCACTACCTTTACACAACGACAGTGCAATTACAGAAGAGATCTCTTTGGGGTGCTAATTATGTCATCATTCATATTTCCAAGAAAAATTTAATAAGCTGAAGAAATGACACTGGAAGTAATGAATATGGAAGCAAGGAACTGGAAGACTAGCACTGCTATACTGTGCTGAAAAAGCACGATATGCGGCTGTCCTGACAAGGTAAATACTTCATGAACAGAACATTGTTTGAAATCTTAGGATCAGGGCTCTTCTGGGGTTAATACCATTCTCAGTTGTCAGTACAGAGAATCTATATCAAAAAAAACTGTTGTCTCAAGGAGTTTCCTGTTCTGCATAAGCATCTCCTAGACCCGCAGAGGAGCTCTCCCAGTCCTTACCAAAGCCTTCAGGCATGATACCAGCAGGTCTGGGTGCAGAATTTTACTTGATTCTGAAAAACTACATGGAAGTGACCTGGAAATTAAGTGGAAGGCTTTGCTAACGAATTCAACAGCAAAACTGTTTGCCACATAATTCGCGCCATGTTGGTGACACATATCAGAATTTATCTGACTTCTAGCAAAGAACAACTTCTTATGTGGCTGTACATAAATTCACAACTGTTTCTCACCAGGTTTCATTCTGTAAGCATTTCATAGCACAGAAAGATCTGCAGCCCATTCTGACACTCTCTTTCTCCAGGAGCCTTAGATTTTTTTCCAATTACTCTCAAATGATGCACCTCATTTCTGAACTGGCCAGGAATGGGGAAGTACCCCCATCAACATCCACATAATCATCAGTGTTAGGCCTGCAATCCCAAAACTCTCTTAAGACTGGTTTCATACCAGTGAATATGAGACACAAGGAGTAGGACAAAGCAACTAATTACTAAGGTGGATATGATACTATCATATTCCTAAATGTTCCTCTACTACTCCTAAGCATTATTTGCACTCTGCGGTAGAACCTGAAGAAAAACAACCTGTGGCGATACTACCAGGACCAAGCAAAACTCTCACAGGCCATGTGAATGTTACCTGGAAGCAGCTGGCCTGCAAATTGCTCTTGGAAAGTCACAATAAAGTAGGTTTTAAAAAAACAAAACAAAACATAGACATCTTCTTCAGTATCTAGCAGGACCAGAAACCTATTCTGCCGCCTACTGGAGCTGCCTAGATGAAACAAGGCTGTTCTGCCTATTACACTTCCACAAAAAGCCACCTCAAGAAATAAAGAAAACGTGGGAATTAAGGACTAGCTATGACTGCCTCATCCATACCTATCTTGAATTCTCTTGACCATTTTTAATATTTAAGTACTTTAATATTTGAAAACATTGTGACACTGTCTTCAGATACAAGTTGACAGCGCATTAACTGCTAACTATTTTTTCCATTGTCAATTAATATTTCAGATATTTGTTGAATGGAACCAATACATGGGAAGAGATGGACTTTGTGTTGCACACACTAGAATGTTTGAAATTTGTTAAGAATCTCCATCAATTCCATGTTTTGAGGACAGGATTACAGGTTTTGCAAGCGGTGATCACTTTGATGTCAGGACTGTTCTTTTAAAGGGTTGTTCTAATAAGTAAGTTGTGAGCATACAAAAACCTTCATCCAAAAATACTCATTTTGTTGGATGGAATACTCCTTCCCATCTGTTACATGAAGCCCCAGAGATAAGGCAAAAATCATGCAGTGCAATTCCTTCTAGCAGCTACTGTAGCTCACTATAGCACCAGGAAGCAAGAGCAGAGACACCAGCTGCCTCCCACTTCAAATGATCCAAGTAAGAAGCATCTGGGAAGGGCATCCTGCTGGAAGGAAGCTTATCAACAACACACCACCATCACACAATACGATGAACAACATTCACGGTATTTTATTCACGGAGGTATTTTAGAAACCTGTAATGAAAGAGCAGGCACAACTCTTGAGGGCAATCATAAATGGCACACAGATTGACCGAGCTCACGGTCAAACAACTCTTGGTAGCTGAGCAGCTAGACCCAGTATCAAACTATGGCATTCCTGTGCTGCCACACAAACCCTTCTGCAGGGCAACAGCCAATGATAGATGAAGCACAAGAATACATTAATTCAAATTAAAACTTTCACACTTATTTGATCCTCATTTTGAGAGGATGGGTAGGGGGGGCAGAATTGAAAGGATGTTTTGTCCCCTGAATGCTGACCACTAAGATCTGCAACTTGAAATCAACGAGAACTCTCATTGAAAATAAAAGATGGAACACAAAGCCAATATATCAGTCACTGAGCATTTAGTCTGGCTGCACAAGCTGAGTGGACACATTTCAACTTACTCCTTCAGATTTTATTGTTAACCCAATTGAAACCCAAAATAATTAGAACCTCTTTTCACGCAGGCACACAAAAATAAGAAAGAAAAAATGAACGTGCTTATTTTTTCCCTCCCTGGTGTTCGACCCTACAGCATTCAAAAATATTCTGCGTATAGAAAGCAGACACATTTTATTTTACATTATCTTATATTGGTTCAAATCTAACCGTAGTTCTGACATCTAAGCTCTACACTTTGCAACCTCAACACTTTGGAAGTTATGCATGTAAAAAATTCACCATTTTAAGTCACACTAAATTTACTGATTTTTCAAGGTTGTAGCAGCCATATTTCCTTCAAAAGAAGTCCCAGAATTAAGACTGGATGGGTCAAATGATGTAGAGGTCTGTCCAATCAAAATGTCACAGAAGGCTGAAAGAGTTTTTTAGGTCCTCTGTGCCCTGGTACCACACTCAAGATAATGATGAGGAATCAACAGCATCTGGCTCCCTTTCCGTTCATACACGATGTTGCCTATAGAGACTGCTTTTTGGCTAATAACGAAGGCAAAACTGCTACCAGTGTTCATAACGGAGCCTAAGGCCTCCACTGCAAAAAGGCAGAGCCCGTGCCCGCACATATGATAAGTTAAACTCGACGTACAGAGAGCGGGCCACTTGCACCGCTGATTTTCAACCTCAGAAGCCCTCAGCCCGCCAAACCACCTAACCACGGCTCTTGCCATTTTAACAAGCCTGTAACTTTGAACGAAAAAACAGACAGCCAGACATCACCACCACATGCTAAGCACAGCACCCTGCAGGATTTTCTCCCAATGGGGGGGGGAAACTTCAGTTTCCGAGGGGATGCCGACTCCTCCTTGACACCGCACCTGCGGCAAGCACCCAAGTTCTGCGCAAACCGCAGCTTCAGTGCTACCAGCAGCGGTTCCCCTTACAGAACAATATCTTATAAAAGGAAAAAAGAAGGTGATTAAGAGCTCCGAAGACCGTTTATAGCCGGAGCCTCCAGGCGCTGGCTGTGCCCAGCGGGCACCCCCGGGGGAGGCAGGGCAGCCCCCCGCCCTATCCATCCTCCTCTCCTCCATCCCCTTCGCCCCGGGACAGGCTCCTGCAGCGGCCCGGCTCCCAACCTACCGTCTCCTTGGCGGCGGCCGCCACCGGGATGGGGAGCAGCGCCCGAGCTCCGCCCGCCTCGGCGGCTGCCGGCTCCCCGGGGGGCTCCCGCCGCCGCTCGGACAGCCGGTGCCCCGCGTAGCCAGCGACAGCCGCTCCGGCCGCCGCTGCCGCCGCCGCCCAGCCCAGCTCCCGCCGCCCCCGCCTCGCCCCGGCCCCGCCGCCTGCCCACAGCCGCCGGCCGGGCTGGGCGCCGGGCGCGGGGCACAAGCGGCGGCGCCACCGCAGGAGGGTGCGCAGGGCGGCCATGGCCGCGGCTCCGCCCCGCTGACGGGCTCACGGAGCCCCCGAGGGGGAGAAGGAGAAGGGGAAAGCTCGCGAGAAGCGGGGAAGGGGTGGGGAAGCGGCACGACACCGCCCCGCAGCCCCCCCCCCCGTCGGTACCGGGCGCCCCTGGCAGTCCGAGCGCTGTGCTCATAGCGAGAGGTGGCCGAGGGGCGGCCCCGGGCAGCCGCAGGGGTTTGTGCCCGTGGTGGGCTGCGAGCACAGAGCCGGGCTGCTTAGGGCGAAGCGGCAGGGTGGCGTGGAAACCGCCCGGAGTGGGGACGGAGCTTATTCGTGGGCGTTGTGGTGTAGAGTCATGGAATCACAGAATATCTCCTGCTGGAAGGGACCCACGAGGACCCAAAAATCAGACCGTGTGTCTGACAGCAGTGTCGAAATGCTTCTCGAACTCCAGCAGGCTCAGTGCTGTGACCACTGCCCTGGGCAGCCTGTCCCAGTGCCCGACCACCCTCTGGGTGCAGACCCTTTCCCTAACCCCCAGCCTGACCCTCCCCTGTCCCAGCTCCATGCTGTTCCCTCGGGTCCTGTCGCTGTCCCCAGAGAGCAGAGCTCAGCGCCTGCCCCTCCGCTCCCCTCCTGAGGGAGCTGCAGGCCGCCGTGAGGCCTCCCCTACTTCCAAATATACCTCATTTGTGTCACAAGCATGAAGCCTAGAGGTGACAAAAGCATCAAAATTGTTCACTTTTACTGCTGAGTCAAAAATATGCACCGACCTTAGTTATCCTTACTAAAATGAAGACTGCTGTGAGTCCATCAGTCCCTTAAAACCTACCAATGTCCAGATCCATTTAAAACATTGGAAACTCTTGGGGGTGTACCAGCTACACAAAAATCTGCAGCCTGCTGAAACTAAAAATGTGAGGCTTGTTTCAGATAAACTGGAATTAAACAGTGTTGCCTGTGACGTACTTAGCGTATCAAGTCATTGTTTTTCAAATTTAATGGAAGCTGGCATTCCATAATTTTTTGAAACCGTGCTGTAAAGTGTCCATAGGAGGCACTTGTTTACAAGAGGAACAGTTTCTGCAAGTGAAATGTGAAGCAGGGAGCTAAGCAACTAACCATCAAAGAGCAGTGCTGTCATTTAACATTGACTGAACCATGTAATGTTCCTTTTCTTTGAGTGTTTAATATGTTGTTTAGTTGGGACCCAATTTAATTACTTAATTCCCTAAATACCAGTAGGCTAGAAATTTCTGCCCTCCCAACGTCTATCTGACCTCTTCCTCCAATAACTCTCTCTATATTTCAGGTTCTCTTCAGAAAAGTGAGATTCTCCCACAACCTTTCAAGCATTTATACTGATCCTCTCAAAGTGACCTCAGACTTGAGTTTCTCCTACCCTTTGTAACTTCGTGTTTTGAGGCCTTCTCATCAGCCCCCGAAGGAAACCACAAACACTTGCCATATCTGCAGCCATGTCAACCCCCAAACATAACCGAGTATTAAAGAACAGTTCTTAATAATAAGCACGTGCTTTTGTCCCTACTTGGAGCTGATGGGCCATGACCTTGTAAAGCATTTCATGATGCATCATTTTCCATGGTACAACCTGCATTGCCTTCTACACTGCATTGAAATTTCCATAAGCTGCATACATAGAATCATAGAATCATTAAGATTGGAAAAGACCTCCAAGATCATCTGGTCTGACCATCCGTTTCAAGTCACAGCACACCTTATGGCATTCTTTGCAATGGTCAAGTGCAACCTCAATTTTTTTGTCCTTTAATTGTTATAAGTATGCTCTTCCCAAGTTTCTGTTTTTATTTATATTTTTTTTTCTAAATTTTTGCTGGGTTTGTATTTTACTATGAACAAGATGTGAATCTGTTACGTAATTGTAATTCAGAAAATGCATAAATAAACACTTTAGTATGTTTAAGGCATTTGTGCATTTTCAATTTCTAAGAAAATGTCCAGTGGTTACCATAATCCATCAAGGGAGAATTATGTCTCTATTTGACAACAGGCAACCTGTCAGTTTGTACAAATGTATGTATGTCCAAGGTTGATTTACCACCAAGATAGGTCTGGAAAAGCTGGTATCTGGGGTGAATGATAGTCACTGCATTTCTTTTGATATTTTAGAATACCGTAAGCCAATTCATTAGCCAGTTTACATTACTTTCATGTATTAAAAAGTAAATATTTTTTTAATGTCTACTGCTTTGTTTGTAAGTGTATGTGTGTTAACAGAGTGAAAGGCTTGTCTCCAAATCTGAGCTACATTTCTGTACTAAATGATACAAGGACAGTATTCAGGTGTCAAGGCAATATAGTTGTCTACCAAATTGTCTACTCAAGTATTTTTTCAGCAGTTGCATGACTAAGCATTCAATTTGGAAAGTTTTGTAGAATGTGCCTCTTGGCTCTTCAGTTCTAGTTGCATTCGTAGGAGACATCATTCAGCAATGGAATTACCTTTTAGAAATAGTCTTGCTTTTTCCATTTTACTGAAAAAGAAATCTTTTGGTCAGTGTAGTGTCCCAAAGTAGACCTGTTTGCTGAATGCCTGATCAGTTGCTTAAAACTGTAGACAAGAGTTACCATGAGTTACCCCCCTGATCACATTGTTTCCCTGAAATTGATTAGCCACAATTTAATGACTTTTCAATAACACCTTTAGGCTAATCTTTTTTTTTTTTTTTTTTTTTTTTTTCTTTTTTCACTTCAGAAAAACCAATAAACATCTGTAAATACTTATGTCTGGGTATGTTAGAACTTCCCTGGTGAAGTGTTTGCTTAAGAACAACAGCACAATTTATTTGTGCAGTAAGTCAAAAACTGTAACCTGTCTGTGCACATAATCCTATGTGCGCAGGTTCAGAAACCATCTAAATCTATGTGCTTTTTATTTAGTGATCCGCTTAGAGAGCTAACATGAAAGTTGTCAAGCAAGACATTTGGACGCTGATATATATGGAAAAGGTCCATTCTCTGTGGATGTAACTGGATGTAAAGGTTCCTCGCTATCTAGGTAGCTCACTGTGTAACTTCTCTATCCCACTCCACTTACATGAGAGTTTACCTACAAACACATGGGCAATAAAATCATGAATCTTAAAAAGCTCTGAGAATTTCTGTTTTCACTCAAGAAACAAACAAACAGAAAAATGAAGGCGCCAGAAAGGTAGAACTTAATTTCTATAGGAAAATTATTTTTTTCAGCATTACTTTTACCTCCTCTGGGTTTTTTCATTATACATAGATATACTTACACACACATATATATATGTATACATACATGCATACATACCTGTAACTTCAGCAATTCAGAAGAAAAGGTTCTGGATGTATTTTAAGTCCATGCGTATTGCATTTTAAAGGTTTTACATCATCAGATTATGACCCTATTTATACATATAGCCTTGAAAGTTATCTTGTTCTTTTTTTTTTTTTTTTTTTTTTTTTTTTTTCCTAGTAAATCCTGTATAAGAATACACCTTACTTCACTCAGACTTGCAATACTCCATAAGGCTGTCACTGTAGCTTCATCCTGTTCTTGTTGAAATCAGCCAACCATGTTTTCTGGTCCCAGACTAGGAATAGTCTGGAAATGACCATGATACACAAATGTCTTCAGCTGGACAAATTTCTTCATGTTCTACTCCGTGTTTTTTGTTCCACCTAGTGTTTGCTTTCTTGTGTACTCATGACCCACCTGCCCCCTTTGTTCTGTTAAGTGTTATTTTATAATATGATTACAATTTTATGGCTGGCATGGCACTTCTGTAATGGAGTTCTAAAATTAATAACGGCACAATACATTGCAGGACAACGTTTTACAAGGTTTTCTGACCAACCTGATAGATACATAGAACTCTCTCTCTATGCATATGTATGCATATCAATGATTTTGGTGTGTTGTTTTCTCCTTGATAGCCACTAGTTTTTTTCTGTGACAATATGCTATTCTTAGGCAATGTACAGTAATTATATTGTCTATAGAAGCCCCAGCTACTCGCTATGGAAATAAAAACTTGACCACATATGTATTTGTTCAACGACGCTGAAAGTGCAGTCTTTAGGAAGTATACGTAACGTTGATTAGATTGCACTGTATACTTTAAGTTCAATAATGCACTCTTGTAAAAACACTCTTCAAAATTATTTAACTTCCCATGGTATAGTCTCAGAAGGTGCATAAAAAAATCTACAGTGTTATCTTTTCCTGTCACATGACTAGTGCAAACAACAAAAAAAATTCTTATCTTTTTGTTTCTTTTCTCGTACTTTATAAAACAGCATAACCGGTTCAGTGCCCAGACATTAAAGACTCCACTCGGAACAGATCAGCATTATATATTCCACTCTACAGAAAATGTTTCCACTATATAACAGGAAAGATTTAGCCATAAGGGTCTTCCAGTGGATGACGGCAGAGGATATTGTTTTCAGAAAAACCCTCCTCCATTCGGTGCTATCTAAGCAGAAGAGCCCTCTGCTTGGTAGGGCTTGGGGAGTACCGCTGGGACCCAGAAACATTTTCCATAACGAGGCATCTTTTGGCTCAGAATACACCTCCTATATATTTAGCTGTACCATCCGAGTGCATGTCCTGCAACTTAGCAGCTGTGATGAACTAATTACAGTTTGATCTTGACCTACCCATCACGTCAATAAAAATGCTTGATGCGTGTTTCAAACGTTTCAGGTATATTTGAGAAATCAGCATACAGGCTACTTGAGAAATAGGTGCCATATAGATTATTCAACTTTGATCTATTTCTTTGATTTAGCACTGCAATTAAGTAGATTTGGTTCAAAGAGAAAGCTCATTGGTTGATGTTTTACACTGATGTGATAATGTTTACACAGATGTGCTTTGAAATCTCGATTATGGTGGATTTTTGGGTCCCACCACATGACAGGCTCCTGTTATCTGAAAGGTAAAATAATATAACATCTATCTGTAACTGCCTTCAGAGCAGGTCTGCCCGTGCTCTCTTCTGAGGTGATTTATCTGATCATTGTATTTAGCGTTAGTTT